TTTTTTTTTTTTTTAATTTATTTTTTTTATTTTAGAGAGCAAGCACGAGCAGAGAGAGAAGCAGAGGGGGAGGGAGAAAGCATTTGAAGCAGACTGCGGAGTCCAATATACTGGGTTTGATCCCATGACCATGAGATCATGACCTGAGCCGAAACCAGGAGTTGGACGCTAACCCAACTGAGCCACCCAGGTGCCCCTAAAAGTTCCAAGCTTCTAATCATGGCTTGGTCTTTCTGATGACAAGCACTATCCAGGAGCCCAACTAGTTGCCCCATTAGAACAAAGACACTCATATTATTCTTAACACTTAGGAATTTATAAGGGTTTCGGGAGCCCTGTGTGAGAAACTGGGGTTAAATACCAAATATAGAACAGAAGATGATCCTAGAGCCCTTATCACCTAGGAAATTAGTTTTAGGAGCTCTGCCAGGAACCGGGGGCAGAGGCCAGTATATTTTATCCTACACCTTCCATTTCAATAAAAGGGAAATACTCATATTAACAGGATCTGTTGTTACAGGAATCACTGACACTGGAGGATGTGGCCGTGGACTTTACCTGGGAGGAATGGCAGCTCCTGGCCCCTGCCCAGGAGGAGCTATACTGGGATGTGATGTTGGAGAACTATAGGAACCTGGTGTCAGTGGGTGAGGACAGCTCCCCTGTCACTCAGAGGATGCCCAGTCAGTGGCCTTTCCTCTCTCAGCTTCTGAGCTGTGGCATATCTGTGCTGCTCTGAAGTGTAGATTCTCTGTTCCCTCCCTGGCCCCAGATGAGAAGGTATAACCTCTCCTTGTCTTAGAGAAAAGCTTTGATTTGTGAACATGCAAACTGTGCAGTCCCTAACATGTACCATTCTCATATCACTGCAGAGCCTAGTGCAATCTGATGAGCCTGAGTCTTCTGTCATTTCCCATAAACAGGGTATCAAGCCAGCCAACCAGATGCACTCTCTGAACTGGAACAAGGAGAACCACTCTGGATTTTAGAAGATGAAGTCCAAAGTCAAACCCATCCACGTAAGTGAGAGAAAACCAGCAAGGTGGTTGGCGGGGGGAGGCTGTGGAAGTCACTTTCTTGTCATTTAGAGAAGGCATCATAGTGGTGAGGGTGTCTGAGGATATAGAAACTGAACTATATATCCCTATCCCCATACGAGAGCTTTTTCTTTGTTGGAATTTAGAGGAAAATATACTCTTTTGTCTCTTTTTGGAACTAATCCCTCTTTATTTCTTCTTAAATGTCAACATTTTTTACCCTAGGATTATTCTTGCTTAGATTTCCACATCTTCCCATTCTTCATCACTTGTCAGAGTTCCCTTCACCTCTCTTCCTATGAAATTCCTCCTTCCATGTCTCTCTGCTAAGAGGAAACTTTGAATTCATTGCTGTCTTCTAATACACCCTCCTGCCCCATTGGAAAATATTTATTTCGCTTTAAACATCCAACCCCACCTAGGATGCCTTGCCCCCATGGTAACCTGGTTTGTTAATATACATGTACCTGCTTCTTTTTCTCTTTCCCCACTCTCAGCTTCTTTAAAGGTTCTCTTTTTATTTTCTGCTCTATCTCAAAGGCCTTAAAATCTTACTTTATTCAAAAGTGTTAAGTTCTTGTTCTCTGTGGAGATTCCCAAGTTATCTCCTTTAACACTGTATAATCTATCTACAGTTGACCCTCGAACAACATGAGTTTGAACTGCATGGATTTTTTTCATACAGTACTATATTGTCTCTTTATGATTTTTTAAATATAATTTTTAAGATTTTATTTATTTCAGAGAGAGCACAAGCATGAGCAGGGGGTGGGGGCAGAGGGAGAAGCAGACTCCCTGCTGAGCAGAGAGCCTGATTTGGGGCTCGATCCCAGGACCCTAGGATCATGACCTGAGCTGAAGGCAGATGCTTAAGCTTAACCTACTGAGCCACCCAGGCGCCCCTCTTCTTTATGATTTTCTTAATAACACTTTGTTTCCTCTGCTTATTGTTAAAATACCGTATATATTACATATAACATACAAAATATGTGCTAATTGACTTATTGGTAAGGCTTCTGGTCAATAGTAGGCTATTACTAGTTATGTTTTGGGGGAGTCAAAGTTACATTTTAGACTGCCCAGAGGGTTGACACCCCAACCTGTGTTGTTCAATGGTCAACTGTAGCTTACCTGTTTTCAAGGCAACTCCCTCAGAGTTCACACTTAGAATGGGGAATGATCTTCCCTCTAAGAAAATCCCTTTCCATCATCTTTTTTATTTTTTTAAATTATTTGTTCAGTTTTGTTGAGGTATAATTGACATATTAGTTTGCAGCTTCATCTTTTTTTTTTTTTTTTTTTAAGATTTATTTATTCCAGAGAGAGTGAGAGCACGAGTGAGCCAGGGGAGGGGCAGAGGGGAGAGAGAGAAACCCAAACAGACTCTGCACTAAGCACAGAGCCCAACACAGGGCTTGATCTCACAACCCCAAGATCAGACCTGAGCTGAAGCCAAGCGCTGGATGCCCAGGCAACTGCGCTACCCAGGTGCCCCATCATCTTTTTGAAAATTGAGATTCTCTTTTACTTTTATACATCTTAAATCCTGGCCATGCTGGGATTACCTTGAGGCTTCTCTACTCTCTGGGGCATTTAAGGTGTCTGCTATTCCTCTTCTTTAATGAGGAAAGACCTTTATATAATTTCTCATTCTCAGTTCCTAGCCTAAAGCCTCATGTCTGCTTTACTGTAATTCCTTTGTATATTTGTTAATTCTTTTTTTTTTTTAAAGATTTATTTATTTATCTGAGAGAGCTAGAATGAGAGAGAGAGAGAGAGAGTACATGAGAGGGGAGAGGGTTAGAGGGAGAAGCAGGCTCCTCGCTGAGCAGGGAGCCCGATGCGGGACTCGATCCAGGGACTCCAGGATCATGACCTGAGCTGAAGGCAGTCGCTTAACCAACTGAGCCACCCAGGCGCCCCTGTATATTTGTTAATTCTAATCTTTATTAGTTCAAGTTAGATTTTGTTGATGGATTCTTATTCCTTTTTTTTTTTTTAAGATTTTATTTATTTGACAGAGACAGACACAGTGAGAGAGGGATCACAAGAAGGGGGAGTGGGAGAGGGAGAAGCAGGTTCCCCGCTGAGCAGGGAGCCCGATGTGGGACTCGATCGCAGGACCCTGGGATCATGACCTGAGCCGAAGGCAGCCACTTAACGACTGAGCCACCCAGGCGCCCCTGGATTCTTATTCCTAAAGCTTTCCTTTTTCTCCCCGTAGACTGATGACATTAAGTCCCAGTTGACCATATTACCATCCATGACATAAATTTCACTTCTTTCGAAGACCTAAGTCTCTACTCTCAAAAAGGAAGAGGCATAAATGTAACAAAAACAAATATGCAGAGTTTGAGTTTTATATGATGAAGAGTTATGGAAATAGTGATGATGGTTGCATAACATTATGAATATATTTAATACCATTGAACTGTAAATTCAGGGAGTGGTTAAGATGATAAATTTTATGTTATGTGTATTTTGTCACAATTTAAAATGTGGCAAAAATACATAGAAACTGTGTCTAGTGGTGAAAAGGGCTCTGAATACCAATCCATTGGCATAGTGGAACAGTGGGTGGGGTTGGGGCCTGCCCTTTTATGACTAGGAATGTCTATATAATAGAAGATACCTATGAGCAGAGGATGAGTGACATGAGTAGGTTTCCTGGATGAAAAGTGAAGAATGGGAAGTGCAGAGCTGGAGGCAAGAGTGTGTCTGTTAAACATTTCCAACAGATAAGAAGCTAGTGTTTAACAAGTACAGTGTTTTTCAGTTGGGGAAGATGAAAATATTCTAGAGATGAATAGTGGTGATGGCTGCACCACAATGTGAATGTACTTAATGACACAGAACTGTACGCTTAAAAATGGTTAAAATGGTAAACTTTATCTTATGTGTATTTAACTACAATTGTAAAAGTTTTTTAAGACTATTTTTATTTATTTATTTATTTATTATTTATTTAGAGAGGGAGAGAGAGAATCTTAAGCAGGCTCCATGTTCAAAGCAGATCCCAATGTGGAGCTCAGTCTCACAACTCTGGGATCATGACCTGAGCCAAAATCAAGAGTTGGATGCTTAACCAACTAAGCCACCCAGGCATCCCTAAAAGTTTTTTTTTTTTTTTTAAGAGATAAGGAATATATATAAGGATATACTTCGAATTTCTTTTAGGTTGATATCATAGGTTTTCCACTGAAGAGCCAGCCATCCTACAATATTTTTTTTTTTAAAGATTTATTTATCTTAGAGAGACAGCACATGAGAGAGCAAGAGTGGGAGAGTGGGGTAGAAGGAGAGATAGTCTTTTCCTTTTTTTTAAAGATTTACTTATTTTAGAGAGACAGCATGCATGCATGGTGGGGTAGGAGGGAGAGAAGGAGAGAGAAGCTGACTCCCCACTGAGCGCAGAGCCTGATGAGAGGCTTGATCTCACAACCCTGAGATCATGACCTGAGCCAAAATCAACAGTCGGACTCTTAACCATCTGAGCCACCCAGGCACCCCAGGGAGAGAGGGTCTTAAGCAAACTCCACACTCAGCGTGGAGCCCAACATAGGGCTCGAACTCACTGCCCTGACATCACTACCTGAGCTGAAATCAAGAGTTGGATGCTCAACCAACTGTGCCACCCAAGCGCCCCCCTCCCAACAGTATTTTTGGAGTAGTTTTATTCTATATCACGGTGACAGGATTCACTGTTCTCTTCTTTCCTAGAAATTCAGAAAGTTGATGATCATCTGCCTCAGCACTTACAAAACCCAGAAGTGCCAAAGAGGATAGAACAGTGTTATGAACTGAACACATGTGGAAATATTGTTCATCAGAGCAAAAGTCATTTTCCTTTCAGGCCAAATCATGATAGGCTTAATTTACACGGAAAAACTTTGAAGTCACACTTAGATTTAATCAACCGAAGTAGAAGCTGTGACATAAAAGAGCCTGCTGAGCATAGTGGAGATGGGAGATCCTTTCTCTGTGCTAATCACAAGCAAACTCATACTGAAATTAAATTCCATGAAAGTAGAAGACCCATCAGCACTAAGTTACAATTCATTAAACATCATCAAACACACAAAACAGAGAGAGCCCGTCAAAGATACTGAATGTGGGAAAGCCTTCCTCAAGAAGTCTCAGCTCACAGAACATAAGAGAATTCATACAGGAAAGAAACCCCATGGATGTAGTGTATGTGGGAGAACCTTTTCTAAGGAATTCAAGCTCACTGAACATCAGCAAACTCCCAAAGGAGAGAAACCCTATGAGTGCTGTGAGTGTGGGAAAACCTTCCTCAGGAAACTTCAGCTTACTGAACATCAGAAGACTCATACAGGAAATAAACCGCATGGATGCAGTGTATGTGGGAAGGCATTCTCCAGAAAGTTCAAGCTAACTGAACACCAGAGAACTCATACAGGAGAGAAACCTTATGAATGTACTGAATGTGGCAAAGCCTTCTGCAGGAAGGCAGAGCTCATTATACATCAGAGAAACAAAGAGGAGAAAGGCCCCATCAATGCAATGAATGTGGAAAAGGTTTCTCCAGAAAATCACAACGCATTCTACATCAGAAAACCCATACAGGAGAGAAATTTTATATACGCAGTGAATGTGGAAAAGGTTTCATTCAGAAGGGCAATCTCTTTATACATCAGTGAACTCACACTGGAGAGAAACCCTATGGATGCACTGAATGTGGTAAGGCCTTCAGCCAGAAGGCGTGCCTCATAGCACATCAGCGATTTCATATAGCAAAGACTCCCTGTATGTACTGAATGTGGAAAATCTTGTTCACAGAAATCAGAACTCATTAAACATCAGAGAATTCACACAGGAGAGAAACCCTATAAATGCAGTGACTGTGGGAAAGTCTTCACTACAAAGACAATGCTCACTGTCCATCGAAGAACTCATACAGGAGAGAGACCCTATGCATGCACTGACTGTGGGAAAGCTTTCTCCTACATGTCATGCCTTGTTAAACATAAGAGAATACACACAAGAGAGAAACATGTAAATTTAGTGAAGGTTGAATATTCTTCCACAGAGGGTCACAGCTTATTAAATACTAGTGAATTCATGCAGGAGAAAAGCCCTGTTAATATGGTGACTGTGCAGCTGCCTTCTATGATCCCTCAGACCTCATCAAACATCAGTGGGCTCCTCACAGATAGGAATGCAGTCATAGTGGGACAACCAGTTGTCAGATGTGCACCCTCAGGAAATAACGGAAAGTATGTACAGGAAAGAAGCCTTATGAATGCAGTGAATGTGGTCATGCCTTCAGTGGCCAATTACACCTTATTTTATGTCACAAAAAACACAGGAAAAAACTGGTACATTCAATTTGGAAAAGCCTTGAGTAATAATGTCTAGCTGATTATATGGTTATATATAAACAGAAAACCTATGAGTGCAGAGGCTAGGAAAGCTGTTTTTTGGAAGACAGACCCTGTCTGTCATCAGTGATCACCACAGATCATCAGTGAGCTTATAGTAAGTAGAAGTATGACAGTGGAAAAGTCCTTACCCTCAATATGTGTCAGTTCATACTGGGGAGAAACTGTTAGAAGGCAGTGAATGTGGCAGGGTTTTCAGTAGTACCTTCTGCCTCATCCATTAGCAGATGAAATCACAGAGAAAACGCTGTTAATCCGTTAATTGTGGAATACCTTTAACAAAATACTAAAGTTCTTGTGAAGCAAAGAAGGCTTGTGAAAATGAGAATGTTTGAGAGCTTTATGTACCTTTTCCAACTTGACTTGTACATCACGTGATACACCTGATGGGCATTTTCGGACAGGATACCTTGAACCACATCCCCAGTTACCATGTTAATGATTCCATAATTTAGAGGAGACAGTCTCTGCCCTACTTCACTCGTTAACATTACCACATTATATTCACTTTTCCCATTTGTGGATTCTTTTTCTAAAATTATATTCAGTTCCTACCCAATATCATATGATGGTTAGCTGTTGCATTTCTTTGGCTCTAGATTTAAGTATTACTTCAGGCAATGGAAGTCCTTCAAAAATGAAATGAATATATTAAAGTAATGAATACATCAAAAATGCTAATGTCCTTGAATTTAAAAATAAGACCAAGCATTATACAATGTCATCATAAAAGTGATTTTTAAAATTTTTTAGACTTGAAAAGGTAGAGAAACCACATTTGCAAAATGAACTAAACGCCCAAGAACAATTAGTAATTTAAACCTATACAATAAATAACAAAATATATTCCAACACAGCTCTTGGTAATTTTTTTTGAAAACATAAAAAAGCAAGGTAGGCAATTTGAATACAAATTAAGATGACTACTTCCATCCTAGTTCTCCTTCCTGGATTATTAAAATTATTATTCTCACTATTATTCTCAGAATGCTGGGAATCTGAAGTTCTAAACTCAAGGATAACTATCCAGTTGCACTCTTCCCTTGGAGGTAGTATCCTGTCTAACCCTACCTTTTGCCTCATTGATGGAATCACCCTGACATTCTTCCTGGCATCTATTGCCTCATTGATGGAATCACCCTGACATTCTTCCTGGCATCTATTCCCATTTTCTCTCAACTCAGAGGGACTCTGAGTCCTACACACATGAGGAAGAGAAAAGTAGATCTTCACAGAATCAACCCTGGCCTGGTATATTCTATGAAGCCAGAGAGACTTTGAACTGGACCTGGTGTAGGCTGAATCTAGTGCTGGACTGGAATACTAGTGGCCTGTAATCAGCTTGGAAAATATTTTCAGAATCTAGTATGTGTAATATATTTCTTTTAAGTAGGCTCCATGCCATCATGGGGCTTGAACTCAGGACCCTGAGATCAAAAGCTGGATGCTCAACCGAGTCACCCAGGCACACTGATATGTATACTTAATTGAATGTAGTCAGGGGTAATGATAGGGGCTGGCATAAAACTGATACAGGAAGAGGTTCAGACCATGTCCCCTGCTGAAAAACTGTGATCTGAAAAAGGGCCTTAGGTTAGGTCTCAGAGAGAAACTAAAGTAGAGGCCTGTCAGTAGATGAGGTATTTTAATGGCATTTAGACAGGTGATTTTTTAAAAATCAGTGACATAAATACCACTAGAATCACTTGGAGAGAACATCTCAATTGTTTTCTTAAAGATTTTGATATGGAATATAAAGACCTTGGGTCATGTATAAACACTACTGTATCAATTTCAATACAAAGCATATTACAGTATCAACTTTATATGTTTATGCTCAAGTATAAGGTCTTGAATGTAAGTTATACACTGTAAAAGTTAGACTAAGCTTCCTGAGGGAGGGAACTTCTGTTAACCCCTATATACGAGATGTCTAGAAAAATATGTGATACACGGGCGCCTGGGTGGCTCAGTTGGTTAAGCGACTGCCTTCGGCTCAGGTCATGATCCTGGAGTCCCTGGATCGAGTCCCGCATCGGACTCCCTGCTCGGCAGGGAGTCTGCTTCTCCCTCTGACCCTCCCCCGTCTCATGTGCTTGCTCTCTCTCAAATAAATAAATAAATAAATCTTTAAAAAAAAAAAGAAAAAAGAAAAATATGTGATACAGAGTAGGCACCTGATAAATACTGTTAATTGACTGAATCTCATTCAGTAAGCGATCTGGTCTTAACTAAGATTTAAAGCAGGGCCAGGAAAAAATTAACTAACTCAATAATTAAACAGGGCCAGAGAGGACCAAACTGTTTCCAAGTAACCTCAATGTATCCCAAAACAAGCTTTAAGAATATAGGAGTGCAAAAATATCCTGATCTTCCCTCCTCTCCCCACTTCCGCAACCAAAGTTTGGTTGGATGTTTGTCATCCAACCAAAACTTATTGGGCAGGAAAATGTGACCAGTGTTGAAAGAAACCAATCATAAGTGACTAAAACTGACAAAAATGCTAGATTGAGCAAACAAGGACATAGTAACTGTATAAATAGTTATAGCTGTATTCCATTAGATCAAAATCATAGAGGAATGGTTAACATGTTAATAACAATGTGTTGGGTTTTTATGTTTTACTTCCTATTTTATAAACCCTCCCAGAATATTGTTGTTTATTTGCTATCTTGATCAGAGAGTGGAAGGCAGTTAGCAGTTTCCACTAGGCATTCCTCACAATGGTACCTCTTACCCCCCTGGCCAAGAACTCAGGGCTTTTCTCTTTTAAGTTCAGGTTCTCTAAGCATTTTTTTCCCTTTTTAATAAAAGCTTTTGTTCTCATTGTAGTTGAATTTGTACTTGAGTTTCTTTGCCTTGTTATAAAATTCACTGATCTTTCCTTTTGCATACACAAATAGGTTAAAATACTGTTCTTAGGTTTTAGACTCCCCACCCACCCTGACCTGTTTTTCATTTTGGATAGTTTCTATTGCTGTGTCTTTTAAGTTCACTAATTTTTTCTTATACAATATCTAATCTGCTATTAATCCCATCAAATGTATGTTTTACCACAGAAGTTGTAGTTTTTATCTCTAGAAATTTGAATTGGGCCTTTCTTTTTATAGCTTTCATATCTCTATTTAATATGACTTACTTAAGTTTTTATTTAAGTAATATCTACATCCAATGTGGGGCTTGAACTCACAACCCCAACTGAGACAGCCAGGCACCCCAACATGGTTTACTTTTAACCTAATATTTAAAGTGAGTTTCTAGGGGTGCCTGCATGGCTCAGTCGGTTAAGCATCTGACTTCTGCTCAGGTCATGATCTTAGGGTTGTGGGACTGAGCCCCGCATTGGGCTCCTTGCTCAGTGGGGAGCCTGCTTCTCCCCCTCCCTCTTCCTCCCGCTCCCCCTGCTTGTGCTCTGTCAAATAAATAAATAAAATCTTTATAAAATAGAGTTTCTGGTAGGCAGCATGTAGCTGGACCTTTTTTATCTGATTGATGATCTCTTTTTACTGGGGTATTTAGATCATAATTAATGTGGTTAGGTTCAAATTAACAATGTGGGGCGCCTGGGTGGCTCAGTTGGTTAAGCGACTGCCTTCGGCTCAGGTCATGATCCTGGAGTCCCGGGATCGAGTCTCACATCGGGCTCCCTGCTCAGCAGGGGGTCTGCTTCTCCCTCTGCCCTCTTCCCTCTCGGGCTCTCTGTCTCTCATTCTCTCTCTCAAATAAATAAATAAAATCTTTAAAAAAAAAATTAACAATGTGTAATTTGTTATTGATCCCATCTGGTTTTGCTCCCCTTTTTGGCATTTTCTACCTTCTTTTGGAGTAACTAGGTTTTGTTTTTAAGATTTATTTATTTCGGGGCTGAGGGGCAAGGGAGAGGGAGACAGACTCCCCACTGAGTGGGGAGCCCAACGCAGGGCTCGATCCCAGGACCCTGAAATCATGATTTGAGCCAAAATCAAGAGTCAGATGCTCAACCAACTGAGCCACCCAGGCGCCCCTGGAGTAACTATGTTCTATGATTATCTCCATTGTTGGCTTATTAGGCGTAACTCTGTTATTTACGTGGTTCCTTTAGAGTTTATAGCATGCATCATTCACTTAGCAGTGTATCTTCAAGTTATTATACCTTTTCATGTATAGTACCAGAATCTTATATACTTCATATTTTCTGTAGCCAAATCAGCTTCATTGAAGAAATTATCTTCTGGATGCTCCTGAGATATATTTTTAGTGGATGTGTAAACTGGCTTTACATGATAATTACACATTAGCATTCCTAACTCCATATACTTTTGGAATCTTTACAAAATATAAAGAAATTTCTGGCTTTTAAACTTTAGTGTAGGCCACCTTTGAGTCCAGTTTCAGTCAACCAACCAAGCAAACTGTAGAGCCATTCTAACTGAGCTCAAACATTAAAGCCAGAAGCAATTCATGGTCAGCCCATATTGTTAAATTTGCCTGATCCAAATTTTTGTTCCTTCCGCCATAATCCCACAAATGTTTCACAGGATTCTCTTTATATAAGCAATATATATAAAAAATAAATACTTCATGACTACGCTGGGTTTACCCAAAGAATGCAAAGTTAAATTTTGTCTAATTTTCTTTTTTTTTAAAGATTTTATTTATTTATTTGACAGAGAGAGAGACAAGGAGAGAGGGAACACAAGCAGGGGGAGCAGCAGAGGGAGAAGCAGGCCTCCCGTGGAGCGGGGAGCCCGATGCGGGGCTCGATCCCAGGACCCTGGGACCATGACCTGAGCTGAAGGCAGACGTTTAACGACTGAGCCACCCAGGCGCCACCAAAATTTTGTCTAATTTTCTAAGCAATGTAATTCACCACTGTATTAGACTGCTTTGGCTGTGATAACAAAATACCACAGAGTGGGTGTTTGAAAAAACAGAAATTCATTTTCTCACAGTTCCAGAGGCTAGAAGTCCACAATCAAGTTTCCAGCTGATTTGGTTTCTGGTCAGGACTCTTCCTGGCTTGCAGACATCTAGCTGCCTTCTCACCATGTTCTCGCAAGGCATTTCCGCAGTTTGTCTACACAGAGAAAGAGCTCTCTGGTGTCTCTTCCAATAAGGACACTGAACTCACTGGGATCAGAGCCCCACCCTTAGGACCTCATTTAACTTTAATTACTTCCTTAGAGGTCCCACCTCCAAATATAGCTGAGTGTTAGGATGTTCTACTTGTGAATCTGAGGGGACACATTCAGTCCATAATATTCCACTCCTATCCCCCCCCGAAATTCATGACCTTTGTGCCTGCAAAATACATTCCATTCCAACAACCCTCAAAGTCTTAGCTCATCCCAGCATCAACTCTAAAGTCTATATAGTCCAAGTCTCATCTAAATCATATATGGGTAAGACTTCAGGTGGAATTTACCCAGAGGCAAAATTTCTCTCCAGCTATGAACCTGTAAAATTAGAGAAGTTACTCACTTGCAAAATACAGTGGTTGGACAGGGGTAGGATAGACATTCCCATTCCATGAGAGAGAAATTAGGAGGAAGAAAGGGGTATGGGTCCCTCAAAAACTTCAAAACCTAGCGAAGCAAATCCCATTAGATCTTAAGACTTAAGAATCATCATCTTTGGTTACTTATCTTTGGTTACGTCCGGCTGCCAGGCATTGTAGGTCACACTGTAGGTGGGAATCATAAACACTCTTGCAACTTTACATTCAAACCAGCAATTTTACATTCTGCATTCCAGTAAGCTCCACCAAGGGTATTTTTGCCTGCATTTATAGCTTTTGTTACCCTAGCATGCAGAACAGTATCTGCCACATAGTAGGCATTTTATCAACATCCGGATGAATGAATGAATAATCCCTTTAACTGGAAGGCGCTCTAAGCCTTGTTGTGTAACCGTGGGGAGTGAGTTCCGCACTGGGAGCTCAGTTGGGCTGCAATACTGAACAGAACCGCTTCCTTTTCTCAGAGTTTTGTTTTTTTTGTTTTTTAAGATTCAAAAAAATTTTTAAGTGCAATTTATCCCCCAGCCACACCAAGGTCAAGTGACCGAGCCAGCCAGGGGCCCCTCAGAGCTTTTGATTCAACGTATTTTTTTTTTAAAGATTTTATCTATTTATTTGAGAGAGAATGAGATAGAGAGAGCACATGAGAGGGGGGAGGGTCAGAGGGAGAAGCAGACTCCCCGCTGAGCAGGAAGCCCGATGCGGGACTCGATCCCGGGACTCCAGGATCATGACCCGAACTGAAGGCAGTTGCTTAACCAACTGAGCCACCCAGGCGCCCTGATTCAAGGTATTTTTCATCTTCAGGGAAAGAAAAGCCTGCCGCGTCTTTGACTCCTCCCACCGCGGGAGAGCCACGCTTCTCTATTAGCTCCGCCGCTTGTTGACCCCCATCAGCCTTGTGCCCCGTTTCCACCCACAGGAATCATACCAAGAGCTTTAGGATTCTGTTTGCCCACTCTCTGACCGATGCCTTTTTCAGCGGTTCTCTAAAACCTAGCCCGGCCGCCAATGCCGCTTTCTCCACAAAGCCGCCTCCAGCCAGCATTCCCAGGATACTAGCCCGTTCCCCTCCACTGTTGTTGCTCAGGCTCGGCTCGAACTCCCTTCCGGTGAACTTCTACGCGGGCCGCGCCCACTTAGCTTCTCCCTGTTCTTTTAAGTGAAAGCGCTTTAAACCAGACCATCTCGGCCGGTCCTGAGGAGAGATCTGCGCAGGCCTCACTGAGTTTCTGACACGCTAAGCTGTATATGCACCGCCCCTGGTGAATGTTACAAATTCGGGGCCCAATGGCTAAAGTGGCCTGGAAATAAAGCGAAATAAAGCGTTTTCAATAGCTTCTCACCGTCTAGCGCCTTCCCGCGAAAGGCGCAAAGAGAGAGGACGCTCGCCCCAGGGCAGGAAGTGAGGGAAACCGCTGCTCCTGGCGACCAGCCGGGAGCCGGCGCTGCAATATGACGTCACAGAGGCCGCGCCTCGCGCCAGATTCCGGGTCTCTGGAACAACGCACGTTGGCCCTCGTCGGCCGCCGTCCTCGCAGTCGCTGCGGTGGGGCTCGGGGGGGCGGTAGACGCTGAAGCAAAGTGCTTGGGGAAGTGGTGCGATGATTTGTCTCCAGAGGTGAAGATCGACGTTATCGCCAGGTCATTGTCGGTCCTGGGAGTGTTTGGGGGCCAGGGAGAGCGCGTTGGGGTTTGCGGTGTGTTTGTTTTTGTTCTGTCCTGGAGCGCGTGGGGGTCGGTGTTGGGGGAAGCGAATGGGACATCTCGCTAGGGGTTGTGTTGAAGGATCACTTGGGAGTTCCCCGTGGAGGGGGACTTGTGAGGTTTCGTGCTGGAACGAGAACCTGGGGAGAGTAGCGGTATGGGGCGTCTGGTTGGGGGAAGCAGGAGTCGTGTCGGCGTTGTCGGTGTTGGGGACAGCGTTTGGGGAGTTCCGTTGTTGATGCTTATCACATCCTTTTAAAGATGGGGTTTCTGGCCTCTTGCGCCCATGTTTACTGTATATTCTTTTTTAAAAATATTTATTTATTTATTTTTATTTATTTGAGAGAGAGAGCACAAGAGGGGGTAGGGTCAGAGGAAGAAGCAGACTCCCTGCGGAGCAAGGAGCCCGATGCGGGACTCGATCCCGGGACTGCGGGATCATGAGCTGAGCTGAAGGCCGTCGTTTAACCGACTGAGCCACCCAGGCGCCCTGTTTACTGTATATTCTTGCAGAAAATATGTTTTCGTTTTTATCCCCGGCCCATGTAATGACATGCTCAAACTCCTAAATAGTCCAGAAAATAACTCTTGTTAAATTTTAGTGTATTCCAGTTTTGATGTTGGGATCAGTTGTGTAGGTACTGCTATAATTTTACACATTTTGAATCTGATATCCTATTACTCTTTGGAAGTTTTCATCTTTCTTTTTTTTAAACTATCGCAGTTATGTTCTGTTGCGCAGGTGCTTTAATTTGGGTAAAACTGATGTGGGTATAAGTCCCACACCACACTTTCAGGAACATTTGATGGGTTTCCTTTAACACAAGTGTTTTGTTAACTTGACCAGCTGTGGTGGTGATTTTCCACATGTGTTTTAGACATATCTGTTTGTGTTTATTCCTAAATAGTTTATACTGTTGTAATCATAAATGGTGGGGGTTTTTTCAGTATGACCCCACTTTTTGTTTCTTCTAATTTTATATAATGCAAAAACCAAAAATTTAAATTTATTTTGTCCTCTCAGTCTACTAATATTACTGCCACTAGCTTATGCATTGATTCTTTTATATTTTCTAGTTGAGTATTTTCGTTATCTGCAAATAATTTTGGCCAGGTGGCAAGTGTATGAACTGTGGAGTAAGAAGAACCTGCTTCTGCCTCTGACTTGGGTAGGTTAATGTCTGAGTTTCTTTATTGGTGAAAAAAGCTGTCATAATTCCTACTTCATAGAGTTATGAAGATTAAATTAGCAAATATTCTTTAAGTACGAAGTGTAGTGCCTGGCACCTAGTATAGTCGGAATAAATGGTAACTATGGTTTATCAAGTTTTTATTCCTCATTCTCAAAGATTTTCCCCCCAGCTTTATTGAGATATAATTGACATACAACATTCTGTAAGTTTAACGTGTACAATGTGTTGATATAATACACTTGTATATTGAAAATAATTTCTACCGTAGGTTAGCTAATACCTGCATCATGTCACATAATTACCATTTCTTTTATGTGGTGAAAACATTTAAGATCTCTTAGGTTTCAGTTATATAATACAGTCTTAACAGTAATCACCATGCTGTACAATGCAGCCCCTCAAATAACTTTAAAATTACTTTCATTTATATATTTTTTCTCTCTCTTTATTTAATATTTGATTTATAGATTACTAGATTTCCCAGTGTCTTATATTCCTGGAAGAAACCATACTTGTCCATAGTGATTTGTTCTTTAAATATGTGGCTGGGTTCCATTTGCTAATATTTTATTTAATAGTTTTGCATCTAGAAATAAAAAGATGTCTTGGATTTGCTTCAGAATAATCCTGTGGTGAAGAGAGATGAGTGGTGATGTAGATAATACAAAATTAAGTTTGAGCTGATAATTATTGAAGGCACATAATGGATATGAGGAGTTTGATTATACTTCTCTTTCTTTCCTCTCCTCTCCTCTCCTCTCCCCTCCTCTCCCCTCCTCTCCCCTCCCCTCCCCTCCCCTCCCCTCCCCTCCCCTCCCTTCCCCTCCCCTGTCCTCCCCTGTCCTCCCCTGTCCTCTCCTCTCCTCTGCACACGTGGGCAGGGACAGAAGGAGAGAGAATCTCAAACAGGCTCCACACCCAGTAAGGAGCCTGATGCAGGGCTCAGTCCCATGACCCTGAGATCATGACCTGAGCCAAAATCAAGAGTTGGATGCTTAACCGACTGAGCCACTCAGGTGCCCCTCCTCTTTCTTTGTACATAGGGTTTTATTATACTGTTTCTTCTTCTTTGGCTTGAACCTTTTCATAATAAAATTTAAAAATTTTTGCTTCTACATTTATAAGTGAAACTGATCTGTACTTTAAGAGTATTTTTGAAGTATAACACTAAAAATGAAAAAATAGGATATTATAGCACCCTAGGAGCCCCATCTCATCCTAATCTCCTCCCTTCTCTCCAGAGGTAATTATTACCCTAAAAACATCAAATTTGCCTGGCTGTTAACTTTATACAGATGGAGGGGCGCCTGGGTGGCTTCAGTCAGTTAAGCATCCAAGTCTTGATTTCAGCTTAGGTCATGATCTCAGGGTCGTGGGATTGAGCCCAGCATCGTTGGGCTCCCTGCCTGCTTCTCCCTCTCCTTCTGCGGCTCCCCCTGCTTGTGCTCGCTCTCTGTCTTTCTCAAATAAATAAAATCTTAAAAAAAACCAACTTTATACAAATGGATCATAGGGTACATGTCCTTTTGTATCTGGTTTCTTTTGCAGAATATTTTGTTGTGAAATTCATCTAATTTGTTGCATTTAGCAATAGTTCATTTTTTTTTTTCATTGCTGTATGGTATTCTTTGGTGTGATTAAACCCCAATTTATTTATGCATTCCACTATTAATACACATTTTGGTTGTTACTGGCTTGTGTCTGTTATAAAGAATGCTGATACGAACATTTTTGTACATGCATTTTGATGCATGATATACTTAGTAGAATTCCTGAATTGTGGGGTATGCTACATACAAGGAGAAATGACAAATGCCCAGTCATAACGGGAGGTTCTTAGCATACGTCACTCAGTAACAGAGAACAAGGAGATGAAAAGCTAGAAGGCTATAGTTTAACAGTGGTCAGCAAAGTTTCTGTAAAGAGCAATAAGAGAGTAAATATTTTAGGCTCTGCAGGCCAGATAGTCCTGCACCTGCTGAACTCTGCCATTGTGAGATGAAAGTAGCCTAGAGAATACATAAACAAATGGGTATGGCTGTGTTCCAGGAAAACATTATTTACAAAAACAGTTCACCAACCCACTATACTGCCAACCCCTGAACAATTAGAATAACATAATTAACAGTGTAAAACACTCCCCCCAATGATTTTTCTCAAATGCACATAGAACAATTATAAAAATTTAGCATATGGAAAAAAAATTAGCATATGGTGGGCCATAAAGCCAGTCTAAACAAATTTCAAAGGATTGAAATCATACAGAATACTTTCTCTGGCTACAGTGGAATTAAACTTATAAAGCAATATCAAAATGATAACTAGAAAATCTCCCATTTTTGTTAAGCATACCATACATGTCTAAATAATCTATGATTCAGAAAAAATTACAGTGGAAATGTTTTGAATTGCATTTTAATAATCCTACATCTCAACTTTTGTTTAATTCAACTAAAGCAATCAGTGGGGGGAATTTAGACATGTAGTAGAAATGCATATATTGGAGGGACACCTGGGTGGCTCAGTCGTTTATACACACACAATGGAATATTATTCAGCCATAAGAAAGAAGGAAATCTTGCCATTTGCACCAACATGGATGGACCTTGAGGGCATTATACCAAGTGAAATAAATCAGAGAAAGACAAATACTATATGATCTCACTTATGTATAGGGTATCTTAAAAAATGAAACAAAACGAAAAAACCGAGTTCATAGATACAGTGAACAGTTTGGTGGTTACTAGAGGCTGAGGTTTGGGGGTAGGTGAAATGGGTGAAAGGGGTCAAAAGACATAAACTTCCAGTTATAGAATAAATAAGTCATAGGGATGTAATGTACAGAATGGTGACTATAATAATACCATATTGCATATTTGAAATTTTATAACTGGTGGCAAATGTTAACTAGACTTATTACAGTGACCATTTCATAATGTATACAGATACTGAATTGTTACATTGTACACCTGAAACTAATATATGTCAGTTATACCAAAAATAATAATACCAACAGATAGTATTTATATATGTAAAGGAATGTTATCATTTTTCATGTGTCATTTTCATGTCAGTTTCAACCACTGACTAAATTTTTTTAGTACAGTTGACACACAATGTTACATTAGTTTAAGTTGTGCAACTTAGTGACTTGAGCAGTTTTGTACATTACTATGTTCATCATGACTAACTCTTATTTTTGAGTCTTGTCCATTTCAATTACTTGAGTTTTCTGGGTGTACCGTAATACTGTGCAATGTTGTTAATTTCTTTTCTTTCATATTGATCACTGCTATTTGATTCTTCTCTCTAATGACATGATAAGACCAGTGATGAATGAGAATGGTGGTATTTACGCCTTCCCATGCTTCATAGGAATGCTTCCAGCATCTCACTGGCTCTCCATTGGGCATGTAAAGTGATTTTACTTGCTTTGCTTTGCTTTTGTTTTGCTTTAGATGTTTTTCCTTTTTTCCTCTTATCTTTTGGAAAGAAAGACAGTGTGACTTCCAACTAACATGTCAACTACAAGTCCCAACTCCATTCCTTCCTCTTCATCCCTAGAAGTAACCTCTAACTTGAAATTTTACATTATAATAATTTTTGGACTTTAAGTGTGTATCTCCAAACTATATATTCTATTTCTATGTGCATTTAAGAAGTTTATGCAAATGGTGTTACACTTGATGTATCCTTTTACAAGAGATTTATAGGATTTTATTTTGTTCTTGTTTTATCAGTAAGCTGTTTTTTTCTCCCAACACTATTGACATCACATGTGTGGGAGTTTGTCCCCACACCAGCCAATTCTCCCAACTCCCTGGACAACAACTGGGTGTCCTAAAATTCAACTCAGTTTTGATGCTAACTACCAGGAATTCATGCAGATCCCACAGATTAAGGGCTCGCTTTCACAAGGTTGACCACACTTCAGATACAGTCACTATTCCCAGGTTGCCCCTTGTATTTCTGACCAGCTGGCTATAAATCAGGGGTTTCGGGGGCACCTGGGTGGCTCAGTTGGTTGGGTGTTTGACTCTTGATTTTGGCTCAGGTCATGATCTCAGGGTTGTGAGATCACCCTGCACTGGGCTCTGCCATCAGTGGAGGGAATTTAGACATGAATTTAGACTCCCAGCTGGGAGTCTGCTTGAGATTCTCTCTTCCTCTTCCTTTGCCCCTCCCCCTGTTCTCTCTCTCAAATAAATAAATCTTTTTAAAAAATAAATCAGAGGTTTCTACACCCCGCCCCCCCAAGTTCAATAATTTGTTAGAACAGCTCACAGAACTCAGGAAGATACTTTACTTACTGTCACCAATTTATTACAAGAGATACAAATGAACAGCCAGATGAAGAGGTACATAGAGTGAGATCTGGAAGGGTCCTGAGCACAGGAGCTTCTGTCCATATGGAGTTGGGGTACACCACCCTCTTGGCTCCACCTGAGTGTTCAACTCAGAAGCTCTCCAAACCGTGTAATTTGGGAGATTTTGTTGATTAAATAGCCCACTGATGATTAAACTCAATCTCCAGCACCTCTCCACTTCCCAGGGGATGAGGCTGAAAGTTCCAACCCTCTAATCATGCCTTGATCTTTCTGGGGACCACCCTCTATCCTGAAGCTGTCTGTGGACCCCCAGCCACCAATAATCTCATTGGCATATCAGAGCTACTCTTGGCACTCCAAAGATTTTAGGAGCTGTGTGCCAGAAACCTGGAACAAAAACCAGCTGTTTCCCATTGTACCATAATGAGTCTAAGGAGGTAGCCACTCCGTTCCTAGGCTATTATAGGTTTGTTAACAAAAGGAATACTGAATTTTATGAGCTACTTTTTCAATATCAATTTAGGCTTTTCTCTTCTAACCTATTAATTTATTTTATTGGCTACTGTTGGCTGGCATCCTGACATCCATGCCCCTTTTGTTAAGAAAATCCCTATTTTATTTAGACAGTCATCCATCTAGGAACTTGACCTTAACCTTAGTTCAGTAGGAGATGCAGATTAGTCCTACCAATCAGGGTAGTTCCATTGCCGTTTTCAGTTTCATTGCTATGTTCCAGGCATGAACATTTGGTGCAGCTCAGCTCTGTTGAGGGTGAGGGAAAGTCTGCCAAGCAGCTTCTGGGAAATGGTTGAGTCCTTGATCTCCAGTCCTGGAGGTCTCAGTTGTAAACTCATTCATGTCTAACCCCCTCTTCCTACCTTTCTCCTACCCATGTGGAGTTGTATACCATTCTTTTTAGGCTGGCACTGCAGGTAGACTAGACTGAAGGGCCAAGACTGGGATAAAGCATTGTCAGGGGGTGGTAGGTATCCTTGTTTACTGTGTTTACCAGTTGGCCAGAGAATGAGTCAGAGATGAGCTTTCTGGTATGGAGGATTCAAGAGAGCAAGAGAGTCTTTGAGAATAATTTGCTGCCTTGCAGGGTGAAGCAAAATTTAAATTGACTTCATGGTGTTGGTGTCCTCAGAGTGTGAGTTTCTTTTTTTTTTTTTTTTTTTAAAGATTTTATTTATTTATTCATGAGAGACAGAGAGAGAGAGAGAGAAGCAGGCTCCCAAGGAGCAGGGAGCCCGATGCGGGACTCGATCCCAGGACCCTGGGATCATGACCTGAGCCGAAGGCAGACGCTTAACCATCTGAGCCACCCAGGCACCAGAGTGTGAGTTTCCAGCATGGCTCTAGGGCTTGGCCCTTGGGGAGACTGATCTCTGACCTGCAGCTGCTGAGGCAAGGGTGGCTCTGCCTTTGCATTCTGGCTTGTGTGGGAGGAGCTGGCTGGGTGTGCATAGCAAATATTACAAGAACTGGTTCCAGGGGTTCTGTTTTTGCAACTATGACCGTGTGGCCACTCCATAGTATGAAGTGCTAGGGAGTAAAGTTTTTTTTTTTTTTTAAGATTTGGTTTATTTATTTGGGAGCGAGAACACAGCGGGGGAGGAGCAGAGAGAGAGAGAAGCAGACTCCCCACTGAGCAGGATGCCCAACGATGCTGAACTCAATCCCAGGACCCTGAGATCATGACCTGAGCTGAAATCAAGAGTCAGACGCTTAACCGACTGAGCCACCCAGGCGCCCCAGGGAGTAAAATTATTAAACTGCATGAGAAAGAAAAGAAATTGTATTGTGAGGCTATCGGAAAAGGAATATGCCATAATGGAGAGAGGCAGATGTGGATTCAGATTCCCATATTGCTACTTAGGGAGGATATTAACATGGACAACACACTTCACCTGATCAAGCCTCAGCTTACTTATGTTTAAAATGGAGATCATGGGGCGCCTGGGTGGCTCAGTTGGTTAAGCCACTGCCTTCGGCTCAGGTCATGATCCTGGAGTCCCGGGATTGAGTCCCGCATTGGGCTCCCTGCTCAGCGGGGAGCCTGCTTCTCCCTCTGACCCTCCCCCCTCTCATGTGCTCTATCTCATTCTCTCTCTCAAATAAATAAATGAAATCTTTAAAAAAAATAAAATAAAATAAAATGGAGATCATGCTTACCTTATAGAGTAGTATTGAGGATTAAATAAGACGATGCTCATGATTTTTATAGTCCCTTGGTCTTCAGATAGGATAATTGCTCCAGTGCAATAAACAGAAATTTTAGGAATGTGTGGGCACAGGTGGTTTTAAGGCAGTTTCCAGAGCCACCACTTGTATCCATTATCTTTCCTAAAATTGATTTGTGTAAGAACTTGGCTACAGACAAGATCATGAGTTGGGTTTTTTTCCCATCTCTTTCACATCCATTCTAGTCTAACTTTGCCCAAAAAGGGGGGGCATTCCTCTTGCCCATCCCATGTCTTCTTATGGAGCACGGCCCCGTGATGTAAAAGCTTTCCTGGTGTTAAAGAGACAGAAGAAATGTTGGGGCCTTTTGTTGGAGTAAGTCTGCATGGCAAGAGAAAGCTGGGATCCCAGGTACATATCCTCTTACAGTTGAATTTGCTCTTGAATCCACAGGTTCTAGTCTACAGGAATAAGACATTATCAGTACTGGAAGAAGGAGGAGGTCTCAGGCTTAGGAAATCATCATTTCTGGCAGCAGCCTGACCTGAGATATCTGACCATAACTTCCAGGCAGGCCGGGAGCAGACAGAAGACAGAGCATACCCTGCAGTTGCTAGCCCTTTCTTCAGAACAGAAGAACATGACCAAGGCCCGGGTAAGGCTTATTTTACCTATTTTTGTCCTTTGTTTCCCAGTGGATTTGTGGAAGCTTCTAAAACACAGTCTGGGGGTGCCTGGGTGGCTCAGTCTGTTAAGCGTCTGCATTTGGCTCGGGTCATGATCCCAGAGTCCTGGGATCGAGCCCTGCATAAGACTCCTTGCTCAGTGGGGAGCCTGCTTCTCCCTCTGCCTGCTTCTCCCCTTGCTTGTACTCTCTCTCTCTCTCTCAAGTAAATAAAATCTTTTAAAAAAGTTAAAAAATAAACAGTCTGATAAAATGAAACAGTATATGTTGATAAAAGTCAGGATCTGTGGAAAATAAGTTTAGGCCATAATCTTAAAATCTGGGGAGTTAGGAAGCAAGATACATGGGTCGTAAGATTCATACAAAGCCCTTAAGGATGGAACCGAGGTAAAGATCTTATGGGCTGGCTTAGCTTTGAATTTGTGTCTCATTTCTTGGCAGCTGTAATAACAAGAAAAACATGAAAAGTTACATGATTTGTAGTGTCTGTGAGGAGAAAGAAAACCAGTTCTTCAGGGAAAGTAATTTCATTGCTCTTAGTGCTTAAGAAATTTCTTTTCCTAGCTCTTCACAGAGATTTTGTGGTAGACAGTGTCCTCAATATCAGTCATGTAATAAAGGCATAAGATGTTTCCTTTGGCTTTTTGTCATTATGTTCGTCAGTAAACTAAGGGGATAATTCCAAAGCAGAACTTGATTGGGCAAAATTCTTCAAAAGCAGTGCACCTGGACAATAGAATCTTCTGGCAGGCCACACTTTACCCCAGAATAAAGCCTGAATTATTTAATAGAATGAATGGGCTGCTTGACCTTTGAGTGGTCCTCCATGAAGAAGAATTCTGCCATTTGGCAGAAGACAGCTGAAAGTTCCACTCTTTGATAACAGCTTGGAGTACAAACAGTGGTAATGCTCCCTTTATACCTTTTCAACTGCAGTTTCAGAAATGAAGGCAGAGTCAATTATTCCTGGTCTGGCGTTTGTATTATTAATTACTTAAATGATGCGTGGCTCCATTTGCATGTAAAAGATTCAAACAAAAAGAAGTATTTACACCAAAAGAGAATATCCCCTTTCACCTCTTCCTGCCCAACCTCCAACCCAAGAGGTAACAGATGTTAATAGTTTGGGTCTCCAGTCAATCTCTTTGTATAATTGACATGTGGTAGAATATATTTATACACGTTTTTATATGCATCAATATGTATACTTATACATATATAATTGTGTATATTATTAAGACTTTTCCATATATCTGGGGATCATACTATATATACAACTTGGGAACTTGATTTTTTTTTATTTAAGAGAGTACCTTGAAGATCATTGGCATTAATAGGTTTACATCTACCAAATTGTTTTTTTTTTTAAGATTTTAAGTAATCTCTATACATAACGTGGGCTTGAATTTATGACTGCGAGATCAAGAGTCATGCTCTACCGACTGAGCCAGCCAGGGGCCCCACTACCAAATTGATTTTTTTTTTTTAAAGATTTTATTTATTTGAGAGAGCGAGAATGAGAGAGAGTACATGAGAGGGGGGAGGGTCAGAGGGAGAAGCAGGCTCCTTGCTGAGCAGGGAGCCCGATACGGGGCTCGATCCCAGGACCCTGGGATCACGACCCGAGCCGAAGGCAGTCGCTTAACCAACTGAGCCACCCAGGCGCCCTGATTTTTTTTTTTTTAAGATTTTATTTATTTACTCGACAGAGGAAGACACAGCGAGAGAGGGAACACAAGCAGGGGGAGTGGGGGAGGGAGAAGGAGGCTTTTCCCGCTGAGCAGGGAGCCCGATGCGGGGCTTGATCCCAGGACCCTGGGATCACGACCCGAGCCTAAGGCAGACGCTTAACCGACTGAGCCACCCAGGCGCCCCCTTGTCTGTTTCTGATGGACGTGTAGATATGGATAATTTTTCACTGTTATAAACAAATAATGAACATTCTTCCTCCACATTGTTTTGTCTCTGCAAGTATTTTTTTTTTCTTCAAATATTACTTTAGTACTCTTTTAGGCTAAGAAGAACTAATTAATAGAATTCCATGGTGGTGTTGTCTGAATGTTTGTGTCCCCACAAAATTCGTATGTTAGAATCTTAACCCCCAAAGATGATGTATTAGGAGGTGGGGCCTTTGGACTGGGAAGTGGGCCCTCACCAGAATGCAACCTTGCTGGCTCCTTGATCTGGGACTTCCCAGCTTCCACAACTGTGAGAAATAAATTTCTGCTTTTATAAGCTGCACAGTCTCTGGCATTTTGTTATAGGAACCTGAATGGACTAAGACACATGGTCCTGTGGTATGTGAAATACTCACAGTGTGCATAACTTATCAAGGGAAAATGATGAGAACGTGTTCCTGTCCCTCTTTTCCGCATCACCTGTTCCACCTTAGATTGCATCGGCATCTGTTGTTACAGGCATCATTATCATTTGAGGACGTGGCTGTGGGCTTCTCCTGGGAGGAATGGCAGTTACTGGCTCCATCTCAGAAGGACCTGTACCGGGAAGTGATGTTGGAGAACTATAGGAACCTGGTGTCAGTGGGTGAGGACGGCATCACAATCCGTTGCCTTTTCTTTCTCGTTCAATAAAATTGGTAGTGTCCCTGAAATATCTCCTGGTTTGGACTAACACATTGTAGAGAACAGACTTTTATTCTCCTCTTTGGTGCTAGAGTGTATATGCTCTCCCTCCCCCAGGAAAAGGATTTTGCTTTACTGAAGTATAAATGATGTACAGACTTTCTCCAGTTTTCTTAGATTCCCCAAGCTTAAATACTTGGTGCCAAGTTTTCAGTGATTTCCCATTTTACAGGTTATCAAGCTGGCAAACCAGATTCACTCTTCCAGTTGGAGCAAGGAGAACCATCATGGACGGTAGTGGGAGCAGCTCAGAGTCAAACCTGTCAAGGTGAGTGAGTGAAAACCAAGAAAATGGGGAGAAAGGACACTAAAACTCCAGTGGGCCAGTGAAAGGTTAACACTTTGGAAGTGTTGTGTGGAGAACTTTTCTTTTTTTTTTTTTTTTTTAATGATTTTATTTTATTTATTTGTCAGAGAGAGAGAAAGAGAGCGCTCACAAGCAGGGTGGGCGGCAGGCAGAGGGACTAGCAGGGTCCCCAGTGAGCAGGGAACCCGATGTGGGACTTGATCCCAGGACCCTGGGTTCATGACCCGAGCCGAAGGCAGACGCTCAACCAACTGAGCCACCCAGGCGTCCCTGGAGAACTTTTCTTATGCCAGTTGGTGACACAAAAATCTGAGTAACTCCTTTCTGTATCGCTCTTCTTTATTCGGGCTGTTCTTTGCCTGCTATTAAAGGTTGAGATCTTCCTTTTTTTCTCATTTCTAGATCTGATTACAATCTTGGCTCATGTAGGATCCAGATTTCTTACCTGGTTCCCTCCTGCCCAGCTTCTGCCTGTCTTCTACTTCCCTTTTCTGCAGCGTTCCCACCTCCTGTTCCTCACCGACTTGCTCCCATACAGATGGCTTTGCACTTGGCACAGTTCTCGTCTTCTGCACATCCTTGCCCCTTTCAAAAGGGCTGAAATCCCTCCCTGACAACCCACCTCACCTGAGGTCATCTAAAAACTACACGTACCTTGTCGCTTAGGGCACCTCAATCTACTACTATTCAGCCTCTGCTTCCCCAACTTCCAGGTTCTGGGTTTTTGTGGGTTTTTCTTTCTTTTTTTAATCTTCTGCTTCATTCTCATATTAAAAGTTTCATTCATTCTCAAGGCCTAAGCTCTCTGTTCTCTGCTGGAGAGTCCCAAATTGACCTCTTCTACTAATGTCTGATCGGCAGTGTAATCCCCGTATGTTGCCAGCTACCAGGGCAGCTGCCCTTTGATGTCCTCCTTCCTGTATGCAAAAGCAGAGGTCCTCCTTTCTCCCAGATAATGTCTTCACCGTCATAGAGTGTATTCAGATATATTTGAAGAGTTTAGCTCTCTGTACTCTGACAGTTATTCCCAGGTTGACATCTCCCCTTTTGTAGTCTGATCAGACCTCTAATTCTATATTTTGCCGGCACCGAGGATAATTATCCTGGGAAGTCCTCTTTCCTTCAGCTTTTGTGTTGCAACCTGAGATCATTTTTCCTCCTGGTGAATCCTTTTACTCCTAGTGCGTTTTACTTAGGTTCTGCTCTGCTGCTGTACACGTTAGGTGCTTAGTTACCTGTGAGTTGCCTTGAATTTTCTGTATTATTTCTGACAGTCTCTGCTACTTATATTAGATTTTATTGTTTTGAAAAGGCCTTAGGGAATTGCACACTCTCAATTCCCACCTCGGAGTAGGTTGTGATCATTTAGCCTTGCATTGCACCTGTTGCTACACACATCGGCTGTCTTCGGTTGTTCAGTTAGTCCCTTTTAATGGTATGGCTGTATTCCTCTGTGGGCGGGGGGCATTAAAGTGGTGGAACTTGATGAGAAAACAGGAGGAGTGAGAACTGGTTAAAAAAACAAGAGGTCCACATATATTTAGAGGTTGATAAGATAAGAACCCAGCTGGGTAGAGTGAGAAGTATTGGGGCTATGGTGGGAGGAGGGTCAGAAAATGTCCCAGAAACAAGTGACAAACTTATTCCAAAGAGGAGGAAGTGATAGATTTTATTGAAAGCCACAGGTCATATAGTGTCCAATAAGCTGAGGATTGGCATCTGTGCATTTGATTGTGTTGCATTTTTACGGCCAGATACCGCCTTCCTTCACCTTGATCTCTTTTTTTTTTTTAAGATTTTATTTATTTACTTGAGAGAGAGAATGAGAGAGAGAGAACACATGAGAGGGGATAGGGTCAGAGGACGAAGCAGACTCCCCACCGAGCAGGGAGCCCGATGCGGGACTCGATCCCGGGACTCCAGGATCATGACCTGAGCCAAAGGCAGTCGCTTAACCGACTGAGCCACCCAGGCACCCCCACCTTGATCTCTTTTTATCTCCACAAGTTCCAGTGCACACTTGGAACTCCCTCTTTTCTAATTTTTCTGTACTTTGTGTCTATACTGCACTGATTCAGTCATGATCACATGTTTTATCATATTGTTTTATGGTGGGTATGAGGCTTCTTTTTCCATATGGAGAAAAGGCCTCTATGTTAGTCTTCCTTACTGCATGTAGACTAGATAATCATTCACTGACAGCATCACTTGCATGTGTTTGTTCCCCACATCTTGAAAGTAGGTCTTATTTTGTTTTGTTTTCTTTTTAAATCAGGGATGTGTGTAAACTACATGGGAACTTTTTCAAACCACAGGCTTTGTCTCTGGAGATTTGGTTTCTAATCTACTAGAAATGGGGAGTGCCCTGAGCATATGAGCTTGGAAAAACTTAACTAGGCCAGCTGTGCTTTGATCCGTGTAGTTGAAGAACTGCCATCCTACTGCACTCTGAAAGAGCTGGATCTAATGAAGGACAGAATACCTTCCAAGTGTCAAAGTCCCATTAAAATTTTTAGGATTTGATTATGAGGCATAGACGGGCTGTTTTTGCAAAATTAGAGAAAATTGAGCTTTGGTGAAGTGTTACAGAAAGAATTAAAGTACTTTTTGGAAGAATGATAAAATAATTTCTACAAGAAAGATAGTTGAATTTCAAGTCAAAATGACATGGGTTAGAGATAGAGTTGAGGAAAGCAATGTGGGAGAGCCTTAGTACATTGGCCTATAGGAGACTGTATGAAAGGAAATGGCTGATTATTGTGGACTTTATGTTAATAATTGGCTTAGAAAGTGTGAATTTGGTTCTGTTTTAACTTTTTATGCTATTTGTAGATGGTCTTGCTTGATAGCTAGGGAGTAGCATTGAAACAGGAAGTTACAGCTTGGAATTCTAGGATAAATGGAAGATAAGGCAGGTTGATGTTTTGTTCCTGGATGGGGAATGAATCTCTTAATTGGTGGTGACAGATGATGTAGGAACAGAGATTAAGGAAGACTGTGGCATTAGTTGAAAGAAGAAAATTTGGGGATGAGTATATTAAGTAGATTATAATGGCAAGTACGGATATGGTTTATATGGATACAGATGACCTGTATCTGTGCTGTCCATTGTATTGGCCACTGGCCGCATGTGGCTACCTAAGTGTAATTAACATTAAGTAAAATTACAAATTCAGTTCCACTGTCACTCTGGTCACCCACATTCAAGTGCTCAATAGCCACACGTGGCTAGTGGGTACCATATTAGGAAACACAGATACAGAACATTCCCATCATTGCAGAAAATTTTATTAAACAGCATAGTACACAGTTATAGTATGATTAAACTCATTGGAGAAGGTGATGTTTCCACCAGTCAGTACAACTGTACTCTTCTCTGGGACAAGGGCAGATGGCCTGAGGACCTTTTCTTTTTTTTTTTTTTTATTAGAGAGAGAATGTGCACATGCATGAGCAGGGTGGGCAGAGGGAGAGGGAGAGAGAAAGAGAATCTTTTTTTTTTTTAATTTTTTTATTCTTATGTTAATCATTAGTTTTAGATGAAGTGTTCCATGATTCATTGTTTGTGCATAACACCCAGTGCTCCATGCAGAACGTGCCCTCCTCAATACCCACCACCAGGCGAACCCATCCTCCCACCCCCCTCCCCTCTAGAACCCTCAGTTTGTTTTTCAGAGTCCATCGTCTCTCATGGTTCATCTACCCCTCTGATTTCCCCCCCTTCATTCTTCCCCTCCTGCTACCTTCTTCTTTTTTTTTTTGAGAGAAAGAGAATCTTAAGCAGGCTCCACACTCAGCATGGAGCCAGGTGTGGGGCTTGATCTCACAACCCTGAGATCATAACCTGAGCTGAAATCAAGAGTTGGACACTTAACTGACTGAGCCACTCAGGTGCCCCTAAGGACCTATTTTTCAATTCTAGATGGACATATATGTGTCTGGGTATATTGGACTGGGTGAGGTTGTATCATTTTTACATAGAAAATTGAAGTGTTGACTACAGTATTAGTCTAAATAGGTGATTGGTGTTTTATATAAGTTAGTTTTGGTGTGCAGGTAGAATGAAAGGGGAAAGGTTTAGTAACAAGGCAGTTGTTGAATATTTTACCGCAGTAATCTTGGGAGGAGGTGCTATAGGTCCTCCTTTCTGATTTTCTGATTCCAACCCTTTGTTATGAAAACCCACATTGTTTATGTTTGATCAGCATTTGTTTGATGTCTCTGGATGGGATTTTCAAATTCTCTTTGCATATTCCTCTCCCAAAACTCTTTTTTTTTTTAAAGATTTTATTTACTTATTTGACAGAGAGAGAGAGAGGGACAGTGAGAGAGGGAACACAAGCAGGGGGAGTGGGAGAGGGAGAAGCAGGCTTCCCGCTGAGCAAGGAGCCCGATGCAGGGCTAGATCCCAGGACCCCAAGATCATGACCTGAGCCGAAGGCAGCCACTTAACAACTGAGCCACCCAGGCGCCCCTCTCCCAAAACTCTTAAGACTTGGAATCTATGAAATTCTTGTCCAGGGCCTTCCTCTTTCTCTGTCCATTCTTCCTACATTATCTCACCTGGTTCTGTGTAGTCAAAATATTTAAGTACTGTTTATATACTCATGACTTAAAATTTTTATCTGAAGGGGCGCCTGGGTGATTAAGTTCATTAAGCATCTGACTCGATCTCAGCTCAGGTCTTGATCTCAGGATTGTGAGGTCAAGCCCTGCATTGGGCTCCATGCCCACTTAAAAAAAGTTATCTGGGGGCTCCTGGGTGGCTCAGTTGGTTAAGCGACTGCCTTCGGCTCAGGTCATGATCCTGGAGTTCTGGGATCGAGTCCCACGTCGGGCTCCCTGCTCAGCGGGGGGTCTGCTTCTCCCTCTGACCCTCCTCCCTCTCGTGCTCTCTGTCTCTCATTCTCTCTCTCAAATAAATAAATAAAAATCTTTAAAAAAAGTTATCTGAAGTCTAGAACTTTCTCCACACTCATAGGTCTAACTGGATACTTCATATTTGTTCATGAATGTATATATTATCTCAAGCCTGATGTGTCCCTCAAAATGGAGCACTTGAGTCCCCACAAATGTCAAACCTCTCTCCCTAATCTTCCTCATCTTATTAAATGGCACCAGCAGGTACACAGATACGTAAGCCACATATTGAGAAGCTATGCTTGATGATTCCCTTTTCTTCCTCTGGCATTCATTCTTACAGTGAGCCTTATCTTTTCCTTCTGTCATTGTCTTTCCTTTCTCTGCACTATGTCCTTGTTCTTGTACATTTCTCCATCTCCATGGTGGTCAGCTGATGCTGCTGTTACCCCTTGCTGAACTCTGCTGTATCCTGTTGTGTATTCTCTCAACAACTTCATCTCTCCAGCTCATTTTTCATACAACAGCTGTGTGATTATTGGTATTTTGGGAAATACTAATTCAGAATGGGTTGTATTCCTTCCAAAAAATGTTCAGTGGCTTATGGCCATTGCTCTTAGTATAAAACCTAATTTCTAACAAAGTCTTCCTACATCATCTATATCTTCTCAATTCTTCCTCCCTTTTCAAACTTAGCAATTTCCACTTCACTCAAGCTCAGGATAGTCCAGGTACACCAGGCTTTTTTTTATGTTTCTTGATGATGCCTAAATTTTTCTGCCTCTGGGTTTTGGCATTGGCTGTTCCTTCTTGGAATGTTCTTCATCAAGTTATCTGCATAACATTGCTCATTCTTATCCTATGATGTCACCTTAACTTGCCTTGTCTCATGGATGACTATTTTATCTAAGATTAACCTACCACTACTCTGTCATCTCCTTCATACATACTATTTTGCATAATCTGTATTTTTTTTTATTTCTTTGGTTACTTGTTGATCCCCTCGTCCCCCCATCTTGCTCTCTGTCTTGTTACTAGAATGACAGCTCCATGGACACAGATTATATAAGTTGCCTTAGTGTGACTGATATATTCTAATTCTAATATTCTAATATATTATTCTAACGTTCAAATATCATAAAGTAGGGGCGCCTGGGTGGCTCAGTTGGTTAAGCGATTGCCTTCAGCTCAGGTCATGATCCTGGAGTCCCGGGATCGAGTCCCGCATCGGGCTCCCTGCTCGGCAGGGAGCCTGCTTCTCCCTCTGACCCTCCCCCCTCTCATGTACTCTCTCTCTCTCTCATTCTCTCTGTCTCAAATAAATAAATAAAAATAAATAAAAATAAATCTTTAAAATAAAAAAATATCATAAAGTAATATATTCCTAAACACCAGCACATTCAATATTTGTTGGATGAATGGATCCATCCCCTCCATCTTGTTTTGTTCTATTCCAGTCACTGTGTGGTTCTATTTTTACTTCTATCTCCATTTTGCAAGGTCCTGTTTGGAAAGAATCCCAAGTTATATTTATTCATTGTAGGCTATCCAGTGTTGTTTCTAAAGTAGCTGTTCTTCCCTTTGCTGTTTTATAATATTGTCTTTTTTCACAGAGCATAGGATATATTTCTCTTAGGGATCTTATAAAGAGCTAGCCCAAACCATGGCAAATTTTTTTTTTTTTTTTACATTTTTTCCCCCTAAAATTATCATGGATGTTTTCATTGTTCTTTTTCCTAGAAGAAATATGGGAGATTGACCATATGCAGTGGCACCCAGAAAACCAAAACGAGAGTAAAACTTTGGAAAGATATCAGCAAAGTTATGCACTTGGAAACAATTTCGATTTATGCAAAAGTCTTGTTCCTTTAACACAAAGACACAATAAGTTTGGCTCACATTGTAAAAGTTTGAAATCACATTTAGGTTTTGTTATCCAGAATAGAAGATACGCAGGAGAGAATTCTGATGAGGTTAGTGGATGCAGGAAATCATCAGTCTACATCCAGCAGGATACAATTCTTACTGGACTTAAATGCCTTGGATGCATTAAACCCAGTAGCACTAAATCACAGCTCAATGAACATCAAAAAACTTACACAGAAGAGAAGCCACATGAATGCAGTGAGTGTGGGAAAGCCTTCTCCAGGAAGGCACAACTCATTAGGCATCAGAGAACTGAAAGAGGAGAGAAGCCACACGGATGCAATGAATGTGGGAAAACATTCATGAGGAAGATTCAGCTCACTGAACACCAGAGAACTCATACTGGAGAGAAGCCCCATGAATGTAATGAATGTGGAAAAGCCTTCTCCAGAAAGTCACAGCTTATGGTACATCAGAGAACTCATACAGGAGAGAAACCCTATGGATGCAGTGAATGTGGCAAAGCCTTCAGCCGGAAGTGCCGGCTCAATAGACATCAGCGATCTCACACAGGAGAAAAACTCTATGGATGCGGTGTGTGTGGGAAAGCCTTCTCCCAGAAGGCATACCTCCTTGCACATCAGAGACTTCACACAGGAGAGAAGCCTTATAAATGCAGTGAATGTGGAAGAACTTTCTTTTTTAAGTCGGACCTGACCAAGCATCAGAGAATTCATACGGGAGAGAAACCTTACGAATGCAGTGACTGCGAAAAAGCCTTCAGGAGCAAGTCAAAGCTCATTCAGCATCAGCGAACTCATACCGGAGAGAGACCATATGCATGCAGTGAATGTGGCAAAGCCTTTGCCCACATGTCAGTTCTCATTAAACATAAGAAAACTCATACAAGAGAGAAAGCTATAAATTCACTGAAGGTGGAGAAACCTTCCTCAGGGAGTCATAGCTCTTTATACATGAGTGAACTTGCACGAGAGCAAAGCGAGATGAACACAGTGCCTGTGGAAATACCTTCTTTGGGAACTCAACCCTTGTTAAACCTCAGTGAGTTCCTCGGGGGTAGAAATGTAGTGTTTGTGGAACAGCCTTTTCTAAGAAGTCAGGCCTCAGTAGATAATAGGGAATTTGCACAGGGAATAAGTCTTGCAAATGCAGTGAATGTGGCAACACCTTCGGTAATAAATTATGTCTTATATGTTACAGACATTGTGTAGGAAAGAAAGTCTCTGGTACCAGAATGTATCTGATACCAGAAAAGCCTTTAGCAAGAATCCTCCACATATTATATGTCAGAGCTCATTTTGCACATAAACGCTATGGATGCAGTGGTGGTGGAGGATAAGTCTGTGAGAATTCAGACTTATTAAATTTCTATGAAATCCCACTGGGCAGAAATGCAGCTATTGTAGGGAAGCCTTTTCCTGGAGGTGATATCTCCATTGTTATCAAAGAATTCCCACAGGACCAGAACATTAGGAAAGAATGTGATGATGTTTTCAGTGATAGGTTCTATCTCATCACATCAGAGAAGTGTAGAAAGATACCTCTAGAGACACTGAATATGGACAACATTTTCAGTAAAATGTGGAAGAACTCATAGGAGAAACCCCTGAACACAGTAAAAGATGGAAATTCTAAAATAGGAATTCTATTGCCAAACTAACTAATGTGGCACAATTTAATACCTTGGGAATCTGGGAAAGACTTTTCTAATAAATGAAATCTTGGGCACTAGGAATTGAATTATGTAGCAAAAACCTATGAATATAATGAATATGGAGATACAACTTTATTAGTCTCTTATGGCTGCTGTAACAAATTACCATACATTTGGTGGCTTAAAACAACACAGCATTATAGCTCTGGAGGTCTGAAGTCTGAAATGCATCTTGCTAGACAGGGAGGTCACAGGGCTGCTTTTCTTTTTGGAGGCTGCAGGGAGAACCTGTTTCTCTTTGTCCTTCCAGCTGCTAGAAGTTGCCTGAATTTGTGGTTTGCAGACCCCTTCCACCTTCAAAGCCAGCAATGGCCGGTCAACTCTTCCATCACTCTGACACTGAACTCCTGCCTCCCTCTCCTACACTTAAGGACCTCTGTGACTACATTGGGCCCACCCAGATAATCCAGGATGACCTCCCTATCTTAAAATCAGCTAATTAGCAACCTTAACTGCACCTACTACCTTGATTCCCCCTTGCCTTATACTGTGAAATATTCACAGGTCCTGGAGATTAGAATGTGGACATCTTTGGGGGGCCATTATTCTGCCTCCTTCAGAACACCCTCTGGCATCCAATTATTTGTCCATACTACATGAAAAATACATTCGCTCTCTCTTAGCACCACCAAATGTCTCAACCTATTACAGAACCAACTCAAAGTCTAAAACTGCATCTAAATCTTCTTGGCTCAAAAGCTCTAAATCAAGTGTTGGGTGAGGCTCTGGGTATGATTTGTCCTGAGGCACAGTTCTCCTCTGTGAGGCTGTGAAACTCTAGAAACAATTCATATGGGCCTAAAATACCCAATTGCATCTTTTACTTTAAATGCCTTTTGCCATGTAACGTAATATATTTACAGGTTCTGGGGATTAGGACATGAACATCTTTGGGAGGCAATTCTGTCTACCACAAAAACACTAGATTTCGGGGAATTCATACTACAGTAAATTCCTTCCTAGCCTTTAAATAAATGTAGAGAAGCGTGTTCACAGAGTAGTAATTATCTTTGATAATTATGGTCCAAATACAGTAACTTTTTTTGCTACAATCAGGGAATCTTACACCTGTGTCATTAGATGTGACCAGCATGGAATCCTTTTGAAATACGTAAATCAAATGATGAACACTGGCAAAGAACTCATAAATGCCCTAAAGGAACATGAGCTTTATGTGCTGCAAATGCTGGCAAATGTCTTTGTATCTATTCTGAAATTGTATAAATGAACATACCCTATTGAGTATAGAATGCATATTCCGTAATGCACCTAAGTAACAGAATTATTCACAGCCAATTCCAACAACCTTTTTTCTTTAACAGTAAATGTTTAATGTATATACTCTCATTAAATAGCCAAAAAAACCCAGACAAAATACATGAATGGCCTGTTTTCAGACATTGGGTAATAGGGAGATGAGCACAGCTAACTCGAGAGAAAGGGAACAAATGAAGGGAGCCTTATGACTACCTCCAGCTTACAGCCTGGAGAGAGTTTCCATTCTGTAGCATAGGGAGAGGGAATCCAATCAAATCCTGGCAGTCTCTCCAAACTGAGGCAGAGTTTAGGGTTTGGAGAATTAAAGGTGGCTCAAATTTATGGGGCAGGTTACAGGAGAGGAGAGAGCTGCACCCAGAGTGAGCACATTCCTCCACATGATTTGAAGTGATCAGCACATATATGTGAAGAAGCTCCCTGGGCTGGAGAAAGAACCACTGGAAAGGAACAGGCAGAACCATCCTTGGAATTTGCACAGGTTGGGAATAATTTGTTTCCACCAGCTGGAATGGAAACCCCTCCCAACATTTGGAAAATCAAAGTGGATCTTCAGAAAAATAGTGCTTCGGGGGGGGGGGGGGGCGTCGCTCAAATTGACTCTAGAGTAACAGCTACTCTGAACCTTCCTGACAAAGCATAAATGTGAATTTGGTAGATTAACTCATAAGTTTTAGTAGTTTTCTGTAGTCTTTCTTGGGTTTTCTTTATACACAATCCTGTTGTCTGCAAATAGCAACAGTATTCTTTTCTGATCTTTAAGCCTATTATTTTTCTTGTCTTATTGCACTGTGAGGTTCTCTGGCATGATGGGTGGACAGTTTGTCTCATTCTCAGTCCTAAGGGAAAAGTGCATTTTGCACATGGAATGGTGAATTTCGGTGCCTCAAAGCTATTATAAAACCAAACTGTTCCCAAGTAGTTTAACTGCTTCCCAAGAAGTTTAACTTTAAGCCCAGTAGTATTTAAAGAATAGAAAGCCATCCATCAACCAAGAAAACCAACAGTGTCAAAATCACAATGTCTGGCATTTAGTCAAAACCTACCCAGGTATGCAAAAGCAAAACAGGAAATTAGGATCTATAAACATGAAGAAAAGTCAATAGAGACCCAAAATTGACATGGGTGACAGAATTAACAGAAAATGATGTTAAAAACAGCTATTATAAATATTCTGTGTACTTAAGAAGGTTGTATCAAATGGATTATAAAAATTACTGTGGGGTTTCTCTCCACGTGAGGCCAGTCTAGTCACTACAGCCCCCACCCCCAGGTTGTTCAGCCTCCCAGGAAGAGGTCAGAAGGAGGTAAATTCCATCAGTGAGGACCAGGTCCCATGAGGAGGAGACCCAAGCCCAGCTGAAGTTGGGGAGTGTAGTTTGGTCTCTGTCTAATCCCTCTTTGGTTTTTCTGGGAACTGAGGCATCTGTGCTGAGCCACAGATTTCTGGGAGGTGCAGTTTGGGATACATTGTCTTCCTAGTTAGTGGCTAGTGCTTCTTGGCCATTTGGCTGCCACAGGGGTTCTGGAACATGCCTTTGTCTATTTTTCTTCACATGAGAATTCTGCCTGGATTCAAGTGGCTATTGAAGAGGGTGCCTGTCAGACCCTATCAAAGATGTCTGGGACTTCTATATACAGCATGTGAGGGAACTGGCTTTCCACGGGTCAATTCCAAGCTCATCCTGTGACTCAGCTTGGACAGAGTCAGATCTTGGCAGGTCTGTCCTGCTGTATGACTGGGGCAGGAGATGGCTCTACAGAGCTCCTTTGTTGTGTGGGAGGCATTTGTCCTCATTCCTCCTGCTCTAGGAGGCTAGATGGACACAGGGTCCTTGGGAGGGGAATTTGATTGTGGGTCCTACTGAACCTTACTTTGCCCCTTATCCCATCCCTTCCCCTCCCGGTCCCCAGGAAAAACTTTGGGTGTTCATGTGTTCTATGGGGTGTCTTGTCCTGGCCTCCTCTTTCTGTCGTCACGAACAGAGAACTTCTAGAACAATGTCTGCCATGCAGTGCCTTGAAGACTAAGCAGGCAACTTTGAAATAATATTGTTATGAATGGGAAGATGATTTCAGCAGAAAGAAATTCGATTGACATACTTTAGAACCTACAACACAATCTCTACAGATTTACAGATTCCACCTACTTCATCTTGCTTTCCAGTCTAGAATTTGGATCTCTAGATTTTAGAACCTGCCAGACCTCAGAGAAGAAGTCTAGAATCAGCTACCCCACAACAAGTTGCCTAGTGCTGGTTCTGTATAGGGGAGCAGTTACTCCAGGTTTGGCTTTCTCTGTATTTGTATCTGTGTATTAGGGGTGAAGGTAGAAGACTAGAAATTCCTAGTTGGTGTGTGGACTGATTAATCTGCTCTCTGAGGACTCCATTTTCTAACCCCAGCTTTGTGATTTTAAGAATTCATCCTTCGTGGGGCACCTGGGCTCAGTCAGTTGAGAATCCAACTCTTGATTTTGGCTCAGATCATGATCTCAGGGTCATGGGACTGAGTCCTGTATCGGGCTCCACACTGAGCGTTGAGTCTGCTTGGGATTCTCTCCCTCTGTCTCTCCCATCGCCCCCCACCCCCTGCACTCACATGCTCTCTCTCTAAAAAAAAAAAAAAAAAATTCATCCTTCATGAAAAGAAGGGTGTTGAGTAATTGTCAAATCTCTAAAAGCTAGCCTGTCATTGAAATGTCTCCTTTCTTCTTCTTTTTTTTTTAAAGATTTTATTTATTTATTTATTAGAGAACGAGCGAGAGAGAAACAGCATGAGAGGGGGGAGGGTCAGAGGGAGAAGCAGGCTCCCCGCCGAGCCGGGAGCCGGGAGCCCGATGCGGGACTCGATCCCAGGACTCGATCCCAGGACTCCGGGATCATGACCTGAGCCAAAGGCAGTCGCTCAACCGACTGAGCCACCCAGGCGCCCCTCCTTTATTCTTAATCAGAGCTCTATTGTCAGATGTTCAGGACCAGAAAAGACAGTAGACTAAAAATGCTGGCAATTTCCTAAGAACAGAAGAAAATGACCAAGACCCTGGTGGGTTTTTTTCTGTGTTTTGCCCTTCATTGTCATGGATTTGCAGAGGCTTATAAAAATAATTAACAAATGGAAACATACAAACATTCCTAAATTCAGAATTGAAGGAAAAATAAGCCATAAAATCAACATTAGGACAAAGGTAGAATAATGAAATGTAGACCACTGAGTTTGCTTAAAGGAATACAGGTAAACAGGTATGTAAGAATGTATGATGTATTTAAATTGAATTACAAATACTTTCTAATGTTTCTAGTATTGATAATGTGTTCGTTTCCTCTTGGTGTCAAAAACAAATTCTCACAAACTTTTAGCAACTTAAAACAATGCAAATTTATTATCTCACATTCTTTAAGTCAGAAGCCAGGATTGGCTTGGCTAATTTCTCTGCCCTGGATTTCATTAAGACTGAAATAAAAGTGGGCCCACAGAGTTTTATTAGAAGGCTCTGGGAAGAAACTGCTTCCAAGATTATTCAGGTTTTGGTAGAATCCATTCCCTTGTGACCATATGACTGAGCCCCCTGTTTCCTCACTGGCTATCAGCTGCAGGTTGATCTTTGTTCCTAGAGGCTGCATATATTCTTTCTGGTGCTTTATATATGGTCCTTTTCCAGCAATCAGTTGAGTTCCTCTTATGCTTCCAGTTTCTCCAGCTTCCTTCCTGAAACATCTTCCTCTTCTGCTTCTAGCTGCTTATGTGATGACATTGTACCCTGATTATCCAGGTTCATCTCCCTGTGTACAGTCAACTGAGTAGTAGCCTTAATTACATCTCCAAACACAGTACCTAAATTCATTTGATTGGACAACTAAGGAGCAGGAATCTTGAAGGAACATCTTTAGAATTCTACCTAAAGAAATAATAGATGAGAAACACTGAAAGTTATATGATATGTATTATTCCTAAGGAGAAATCAGACCAGCTGCTTAGAGGAAATAATTATTTCCTGGAGCTTACGTCTTGAAATCAGATAATTAACTTCTCCAACTTTGTTCTTCTATTTCACTGTTGTTTTGGCTTTTCTACATCCTTTGCTTATCCATATAAATGTGAAGATTAGCTTGTTTACTTGTTTTAAAAATGACTTTGGTAATTTTGGTAGAGATTATATTAAATCTACCTTAGTAAAAAAAGATTAGTGGGGAGCCTCGCCATCCATGAACATGATACAGCTTTTCTTTTGTTTGGGCATTCTTTGTTTCAGTAATGTTTTGTGCTTTTCATCATAGCAGTCTTGTACATCTTTGATTTACTCTTGGGTATAAGGATTTTTTTGTCTTAATTTTATTTTTCAATTGTTTGCTAGTACAGAAATACAACTGATTTTTTAATATTTTGATCTTTTGTGAATTTGGTAGATTCACTCATAAGTTTTAGTAGTTTTCTGTAGGCTTTCTTGGGTTTTCTTTATACACAATCCTGTTGTCTGCAAATAGCAACAGTATTCTTTTCTGATCTTTAAGCCTATTATTTTTCTTGTCTTATTGCACTGTGAGGTTCTCTAGTATGATGGGTGGACAGTTTGTCTCATTCTCAGTCCTAAGGGAAAAGTGCATTTTGCACATGGAATGGTGAATTTTGGTGCCTCAAGGGCAGACTGTGCTGGGTTAAGTAGTATTTCTTGTTTTATTATTATTGATTTTATTGTTATTTTAGTGGTTACTATAGAGCTCACAGTGTGACATCTTTCATTCATCACGGTTGACCTAGGATTGATATCATGACATTTTACACTGTTCATTTCACACACCTTACCTTGCCTACTTCACACTTGTAATTCACACATTCTATTTCACACTTCCAAAAATTTAATAACCTAATGGCAGTATAATTCCTTTTAAGTCCATTCTCTGTTTTTTGAGCTATCATTGCCCCACCTTTTAGTTTTTTATTGTTACAAACCCACCTTAGGTTGTTACTAATTTCATTCTTAGGCAACAGAGGGCCAGATAGTAAATATTTTCAGCTTGGCTGGCCATACAGTCTCTATCAAATCTGTTCAATCATCTGACTATAGTGAAAGCATTCATAGATAGGTAAACAAATGGATGTGGTTATGGTCAAATAAAACTTAACTTAGAAAGGTAGGCGGGGGGGGCGCCTGGGTGGCTCAGTTGTTAAGCATCTGCCTTCGGCTCAGGTCATGATCCCAGGGTCCTGGGGTCAAGCCCCGCATCAGGCTCTCTGCTCAGTGGGAAGCCTGCTTCTCCCTCTCCCACTCCCCCTGCTTGTGTTCCCTCTCTCGCTGTGTCTCTCTCTGTCAAATAAATAAATTCTTAAAAAAAAAAAAAAGTAGGCAGGGGGCGCCTGGGTGGCTCAGTCGGTTAAGCATCTGCCTTTGGCTCAGGTCATGATCCCAGTGTCCTGGGATCAAGTCATGCATCGGGCTCCCTACTTAGCAGGGAGTCTGCTTCTCCGTCTCCCTCTGCTGCTCCCCCTGCTTGTGTTCTCTCACTCGTTCTCTATCTCTCTCTCAAATAAATAAGTAAAATCTTAAAAAAAAAAAAAAAGTAGGCAGGGAGGGATGCCTGGGTGGCTCAGTTGGTTGAGCGTCTGCCTTCTACTCAAGTCATGATCCCAGGGTGCTGGGATCGAGTCCTGCATTGGGCTCCTTGCTCAGCAGGGAGCCTGCTTCTCCCTCTGCTGCTGTTCCTCCTACTTGTGCTCTCTTTCTGACAAATAAATAAATAAAATTTAAAAAAAAAAAAAGGAAAGAAAGAAAAGTAGGCAGGGAGCTGGATTTGGCCCATGACCTCTCCTAAACAATTTACCCTTTAAAGAAAATGAGAAGAATAAGAACCTTACAAATATCCCATTATTTACCATTTCTGGTGTTCACTACCTTTCTGTTGATCTGAATTTTCAACTAGCATAATTTTCTTTCAGCCTGAAAATATCCTTTAAGATTTCTCTGTGCAGATCTTTCAGCAGTGAATTCTCTCACATTTTGTTTATTTAAAAATGTCCTTGGGGTGCCTGGCTGGCTCAGTCAGAAGAGCATGTGACTTGTGATCTCAGGGTGGTGAGTTTGAGCCCCATTTTGGGTGTAGAGATTAATAATAAATAAATAAACTTAAAAAAATAAAAGTAAAAAATAAGATTGTGTTCATTTCAAAAAATGTGTTTATTTCAAGTGGCTCTGTGTCATGTGTAGCGCATTGGACTTTTTTTTTTTTTGCGCATTGGACTTCTAATGACGAAAAATACCTTATTTCACACTAATTTTTATTTTTTATTTTCATTTATTTATTTTAAAAGATTTTATTTATTTGAGAGAGAGAGAGCACAAGCAGAGGGGAGGGGCAAAGGGAGAGGGAGAAGTAGACTCCCTGCTGAGCAGGGAGCCTGATGCTGGGCTCCATCTCAGGTCCCTGAAATCATGACCTGAGCTGAAGGCAGACGCTTAGCCAACTGAGCCACCCAGGCGCCCCGTCTCTTCTTAATAACATTTCTTTTCTCTAGCTTACTTTATTGTAAGACTACAGTATAGAAAACATAAAATTTGTGTCAATTAACTTTATGTTATCAACAAGGCTTCTGGTCAACAGTAGGCTATTAGTAGTTAAGTATTGGGGGAGTCAAAGGTTATACGTGGATTTTCAACAGCATGGGGGTTGGTGCCCCTAACCTCCACATTGTTCAAGGTTCAACTGCTCAATTTTCTGCTGGTTCATACACATCTGAACATCAGAGATACATCTGAATGGTCATTTTTTTTTTAATATTTTATTTATTCATGAGAGTCAGAGAGAGAGAGACGCAGAGGCAGAGGGAGAAGCAGGCTCCCCGCCCAGCAGGGAGCCCGATGCGGGACTCGATCCCAGGACCCTGGGGTCATGACCTGAGCCGAAGGCAGACGCCTAACCATCTAAGCCACCCAGGCGCCCATGAATGGTCATTTTTTAAAAGATTTTATTTTTAAGTAATTTCTACACACAGTGTGGGGCTTGTGCTCACAACCCCAAAATCAAGAGTCACATGCCCTACCGACTGAGCCAGCCAGGTGCCCCTGAATGGTCATTTTAATATTTCATTCTTTCCCCATATTTTGGATGTTTTATTTCTCAATATATTAAAAACGTATTAATATCCTGGGTTATAATTACTCATGTGCAGTCATTTCAAGTCTGATTCTATGTTCTTTCTGTTGATACATGTTTCCCTGTAACTATATATGGTGGTAAATGCTAATTAGACTTACTGTGGCAGTCATCTCACAAATATATTGCAAATCATTATTTTGCACAACCTGAAACTAATGTTTTATGTCAATTATACGTCAATAAAAATAAATAAAAGGTAGTATTTCGTTGGGAAAAAATATATAAAAGCTCCTTGAGGGCCAATATTTGCTGTGTTTTTATGTTAGCACTTAGTTCTCTATCTTTAAGTAGATGTTAAAAATGTTTTTAAAAATAAATAAAAATTAAAAAAATAAAAATATTTTTCAGAGATTTCTATTTCAGGGATATTTTACCTGTAGGATTTAATGGATATACCTTTCAAAAACTTCTAATTTGTCGGATTAGTTGATAATTAAGTGTACAATTGCAATAGAGTTTTTTTTATTTTTATTTTTTTTAAGATTTTATTTATTTATTTGACAGAGAGAGACACAGTGAGAGAGGGAATACAAGCAGGGGAAATGGGGGAGGGAGAAGCCAGGCTTCCCGCCGAGCAGGGAGCCCAATGTGGGACTCGATCCCAGGATCCTGGGATCATAACCTGAGCTGAAGGCAGACGCTTAACGACTGAGCCACCCAGGCGCCCCTGCAATAGAGTTTTTAATTGAAATATATTTGACCTATAACATATAAGTTTAAGATGTACAACATGTTGATTTGACACATCTATATATTATAATATGGGAAGATAGATTTAATGGCATTTTACTTCTTTCCATAATGAATAATGAAAACTATTACACAAAGACATAGCCTTTGTAAGTTATGGTAAAAACAACCAGAACATATACCTAGAGGTCTTTTTCACATCAGTAATGATCACTACAAATTGAAGAACAGTGTGTTATTATAGGGATTAATGTCATTTGAGAATGTATCTGTGGACTTTACCTGGGAAGAGTGGCAGCTACTAGGTTCTGCTCAGAACAATCTATATCTGAGTATGATGTTGGAGAATTACAGCAACCTGTGACAATAGTTAAAGATGATTGCTGTATGTCATTCAAAGTGTCACAGACAATAGCCTTTCCTTTTTCAGTTGCCCTAGCTTCCAAAGAGCTTTAAGATACTGGACTTTAGTTTATAGGCAATAGATTCTTAGTCTGTCCTCTGTTTCCATATAGAACTTATGTGCTCTCACCTTCGATAGATATTTGATCTGTCAAGGTGGAACTATGTCAATTCCTGAGACTTTCGTGCTTTTCCTAGATATCCCCCACCAAGTCCAATTATAAGTGTCCAAGTCTTTGTCATTTCCCATGAACAGGCTATCCAGCTACCAAGCCAGATATAATCCTTAATTTCGAGCATGGAGAAGAGTCATGGAGCATAGAAGATGAAATGGAATGTCAGTGCTTTTCAGGTAAGTGAGCAACTGAGAACAAGATGTGAGACTTTGAAAGTAACATAGTTGGCCATGAGGGGATGACCCCTTCCAAATGTGTTTTAACAAGGCTAAAACTTTAAAGGTCGTTACAGATAATTGGTAATTACAGAATCATTAATGTAAATTAAGGTAATTAGAGAAATCATTAATGAAGCTCTCATTTGCCTGGTGTTTCAAGGGAGATGTGCACCTCTTTTTCTCTCTTTGGATTGATTCATGTTCAGTATAATGTTTCCTGTGCAGCTTCCAGACCTCCTCCTCCTCTTCTACTTCCTCACTGGCAGTGCCCCTTCCTATTTTCTCTGCAGCTCTTGTTTTCACCCCTTGTACCTGATCAAGTGATGTAACAATTCTTCTAGTTAACACAGAAGCCTTTTATCCTGGGATCAGGTTTTTGGACTTCTGTGGGCCATCTGAAAATGTATCAAAACAAGCTAAAAGGTGGGAATGTTGACCATAGTGTGGTGTCTAAATATATTACAGCTTGTTGTCTGTTACATGAAGAATTAGAGAAGAATCAGTAAGAGAGCTTAACTATGCTTATCTTTGAGTGAGAAGCCAAGGATGCTTCATTCTAACCTGCCTCTCCCAGATACTTGTTCAAGACATGTTGGCATCTTTTTTTTGGTCATTGTTTGCACCTGATGGATGGACTTTCTCCATTCTCTGGGCATCTTCAAAAGTCTCCAGAGTCACAGAGCATGAAGCTTCATCCTTGCCTATTTCTATGAGTGTGGTTTCATTCATTTTCATGGCCTTAGGAATACTATTTATACGCTGATGAGCCCCAAATTTCTGTCTCCAGCCCAGACCTTCTTTTATCCACACACATTCGCCTAGATATTTCATTTCTGCACTTGGAGATCTAATAACTACTTCAAACGTCATGTCACTCTTGGTTCCTCTTCTCACTTACACCACAAATCCAGTCCATTAGCAAGTGTAGTCTGTACTTTCTCCATATTATATCTGGGGGTCATCCACTCCTTTCTATAACTATTGTTTCACCCAAGCCCCACATCCATTGTCTCTTGCCAAAGTTATCATAGTTTTCTTGAGAATGCTCTCACTTCTTTACTCTTGCTTCTCTCTATTCTCCATATAATAGCCAGATTTCTTGGTCTTTTTTTATTATTTATTTTTAAAAAGTAATAGAAGTCAGTTTTTCCATCCTCTCACCCCCAAAATTCATGAAGACTAAAACAAACTTTAGAAACATGCAGATTTATAACGATATCAGGTTCTGACAATTATCTGGGTATGGAAGATAATTAAACCATCATATGGAAAAAACAGTCTTCTGAGTTGGAGAAAAGAGGGAAGATCTAAAGTATAATCCAAAAAAATGCTGTTTGCCATAGCAGGTCTTTACCAATTTTCCCAAGCACAGTCCACAATCCTAAAAATAATATTTATGTCACAATACTTAAGACCTTGTTAGTGTGATAACTGATATATATACACACAGGATTAACTTCTTAAAGTGAAAATCAGGACATGTCATCTCTCTCCCACTATTACCTTGAATGGCATCCTGTTACTATTAGTATAATATCCAAATTCCTCCTACATGTGAGCATTTCCTGACTCCTGCCTAAATTTTTGCTTACCTTTTTATGTAAAAAAAAAATTTTTTTTTAAGATTTTATTTATTTTTATTTGAGAGAGAGAGAATGAAAGACAGAGAGCACGAGAGGGAAGAGGGCAGAGGGAGAAGCAGACCCCCCGCCGAGCAGGGAGCCCGATGCGGGACTCGATCCCAGGACTCCAGGATCATGACCTGAGCCGAAGGCAGTCGCTTAACCAACTGAGCCACCCAGGCGCCCTTTATGTAAAAATCTTTTGAAGTATAACATACACACACAAAAATATATAGATACAAGGGTACAGCTCAGTTAATTTTTACAGTCAGTATGCTGTGTAACCAGCACTAGATCAATAGTACCAGAGTACTGCGCAGGATACCATTGTGTGAATATGAAACAAATTATCCCTTCTGCATTCAGGCTGTTACAAGTTATACTCCTACATATCTTTACATAAAGGTTCTTTATATTCTTCTCCCTTTGAAAATGTTATTTCTGAATAGTTTAGACTTAGTGAGAAATCCCAAAATTAAACACAGATTTCTTACGTATTCTTTTTTTTTTTTTAAAGGTTTTATTCATTTATTTGAGAGAGAGGGAGAATGAGGGGGGTGAGGGGCAGAGGGAGAAACAGACTCCCCGCGGAGCACAGCACCTGACTCAGGGCTCACTCCCAGGATCCTGAGATCATCACCTGAGCCAAAGACAGATGCTTAATCGACTGAGCCACCCAGGCACCCCTTACATATTCTTTTTGTGGATTTCCCTAAGTGGTAATATTTTACCACATTTGCGTTATCACAGTCTATCCACCTATTATTCCATTCACACACATACACACATCCTGTTTTTCTGAACTCTTTATCCCTAAATACTTAAGTGTGTATTTCCTAGAAACAAGTTAATTTTTTCAAGTGACCAAAATTAAAAAAAAAATCAAAATCAGAATATTGATATCGATACAGAACTATTACCCAATCTACAGAGCTTACTCAAATTTTACTGATTGTCTCATTAATATTTTTTTATAGTAAATGGAAAAAAATATGTTTCTGGACCTTTCCTTATTATCTTGCTCATTCTATTGTGGGTACACTGGCTTTCACTCAAAAGTCAGAGCTCACTAATTATGACCCAAATCCTTTAGGTAAGAAACCATATGGATGCAATAAATGTGCAGTGAATGCTTATGAACCACTCATGACCGTACTTCAGAGAACTCATGCAGGAAAGAAATCCCATGAATGCTGTGATTGTAGGAAAGCCTTTCCCAGTAAGTTAAAGCTAATTACTCATCAACAGACTCACACAGGGGACAGATCATTTGGGTGCAGTCAATGTCAAAAAGGCTTCATTACAAAGTCAGCACTCATCTGTCATCAGAAAACTCATCATAGAGAAGGGAAATCCTATACATGCAGTAAATGTGGGAAAGCTTTTCCTTGGAAGTCAAAACTCACTTTACATCAGAGAACTCATTCAGGAGAGAGACCTTTCAGATGCAGAGTATGTGATAAAGCCTTCATGGTTCAGACACATCTGACGGTACATCAGAGAACTCACACAGGAGAGAAACCATATGAATGCTCGGATTGTGAGAAAGCCTTCTCAAAAAAGGCTCAGCTCATAATCCATCAGTGAATTCACACAGGAGAGAGACCATATGGATGTAGTCAATGTCAAAAAGCATTCATTACAAAGTCAGCACTCATCTATCATCAGAAAACTCGTCATAGAGAAGGGAAATCCTATACATGCAGTAAATGCAGGAAGGCTTTTCCTTGGAAGTCAAAACTCACTTTACATCAGAGAACTCATTCAGGAGAGAGACCTTTCAGATGCAAAGTATGTGATAAAGCCTTCATGGTTCGGACACATCTCACTGTGCATCAGAGAACTCACACAGGAGAGAAACCATATGAATGCTCGGATTGTGAGAAAGCTTTCTCAAAAAAGGCTCAACTCATGATTCATCAGCTAATTCACACAGGAGAGAGACCATATGGATGTAGTCAATGTCAGCAAGCCTTCATCCAGAAGTCAGATCTTACTAATCATAAGAAAACTCAGCATGCAGTTGGGAAATCTCATGGATGCAGTGAATGTGGGAAGGTTTTGTCCTCTCAGTCAACTCTCATTATACATCAGAGAACCCATACAGGTGAGAAGCCCTTCAAATGCAGTGTATGTGATAAAGCTTTCACATCAAAGGCACATCTTATTGTCCATCAGAGAATTCATACAGGAGAGAAACCATATGAATGTTCAGATTGTGAGAAAGCCTTCTCCACTAAGGCACATCTTATGATTCATCAGCGAATTCACACAGGAGAGAGACCATATGGATGCTATGAATGTCAACAGGCTTTCATCCAGAAGTCAGGTCTCACTAGCCATTTGCAAAATTGTCATGCGAGAGTGAAATCTCATGGATGCAGTGAATGTGGAAAGGTTTTGTCCTGTAAATCAACTCTCATTATACATCAGAGAACCCATACAGGTGAGAAGCCTTTCAAATGTGGTGTATGTAATAAAGCCTTTACAGCTAAATCCTATCTCACTGTACATCAGAGAATCCATACAGGAGAGAAACGATATGAATGCTGTGATTGTAAGAAAGCATTTGCTACTTTGTCAACTCTCATTGGTCACTGGAGAACTCACACAGGAGAGAGGCCCTATGGATGCAATGAATGTCAAAAAGCCTTCTTTCGGAAGTCAGCTCTTACTAATCATCAGCAAACTCGTCATAGAGGAAAATTCTCTATGCAATGACTGTAGAAATGTGAGAAATAGTTTTTGAATAGTCCTATCTGTTCAGAGAACTCATGTAAAATAGAAATGCCATGAATGCTGTGATTATAGTAGACCTTTCTGGAACTTCTATAGGAAATAAACCTTATAGATGCAATGAAAGTTGTAAGCCTTTCATCTGAAGACTCCTCCCAGTATACCACAGGGATCTCGCCAAAAGAGAGCAACATTGTAAATGCAGTGATTGTCAAAAATTTCATTTGAAAGTCACAGGCTATGCGTTTAGGAGGCAACACCTGTGAATGCAGTGAAAGTGGGAAATCATTCTTTTCAAATCACATTTGTTATACATTAGGGTATTCATTAAGGGAGGGACCCTGCCGTTGCAGTAAGTGCAGAAAAGCCAAGAAAAATCACATCTCATTGTACATAAAAATTTCATGAATTTTGTGATAATGATAGCATTCTCCAGAAAGTCAAAACTCTTTGACCATCTTGTACAGGAGAGAGATCCTGCAGATGCTATGAATGTGGTACAGTCTTCCCAATTAATGCATATCTTCCTTACATCAGCAAACTCAAGTAGGAGGAAACCCCTATTTAGTGTAGTAAACGTAGTAAAGCCTTCATCTACATGTCAAAGCCACTAATTATCTGCAAAATCATATAATAGGTAAATCCTTTGGCCACAAAACTCATCGCATATCAAGAAAGAAATGTCATTAATTGCAGTGATTATCTACAATGCTTTATTTACAATTCAGAGCCTTTTAAAGTAATTTCATATTTTATTGAACAGATTGTTTCATGTTTTCTGAAATGTAAAACAAAAATAGGACTTTAAGAATGTAGAATAGTAAAGGGGGTGAAGTATATTCACACATTTAGTGAGCTGGAAACTAGAAAGGTATATAATACTCTGAGTTGGAATCAGAGGGAAAACCTGTTCAGGACTGAAGGGAGGTCCTTGGTTTCTTATTACAAAAATCTCCCATTGACTAAAGGCCATACAAATAAAAATGTCAGTTTATGAAAAAAACTCCGAATTGCATAAAACCCCATTTGGCAAGAGAAATGGCCAGGGTAAAAGGATGTGGGCTCTGGGGGCAGCTAGTCTGCAACAGGGATGTGGAGGGAGGACGCAGCTCACGTCCAGGACCTGTAGGTAGGAGCAGGCTGGGAAGAAGTCCAGAGGCAGAGGTTAGTGCACTCACCCAAAGCCCTTGCTTTCCAGTCAGAGTTTCTAGGATGCTGATGCTTTCCTCAAACAAGGTACAATTCGGAGCTTTTAATTGCTCTCTAATTCACGTAGCAGAGAGATCCTATTCTCAGATAAGGGAACAATTTCTAGGTTCAGTAAAGTTATAAAATCCTTAAGGAATCATATCATATAGAAATATAGTGATTATAGTCACTAAAAATGCTTTCTATGGAGGATTTGATGTCATTAAACATCATAAGCTCTTTAAAAAAAATAGAAATTGCTCTACACAGAGCAGTGAATGTGGCAAAAGCATCAGTGATTAATTATGTTTTATTTTTGTATTTCTGGATTTATTTCTTCACATCTGACCATATCTTCAATTGTGATGCATGTTATAGTCAATGGAATGTCCTCATTTAGTTGTTACAGCTTTTCTACATTTGATGGCATTTTAGATCTGGGCAATTAGCTAAACTTGGAAACCATGTATAGAATGAAATTATTTTGTAAGGGCTTAACATAATTGTTTTAGAAAGGATTCCAGAGAATATTCTACCAAAAATATTAGACATTTTCCCTGCAAATATGATGCCGTTTGAATATATAAAAAAATAATAAGTTGACTAGTGACAAAGGTTTGTAGGGGTTATATTGTAGACTATACTATATGACATGGACTTTATGTATTTGACTTTATTATTTTTTGGAATTACATGAAGGAACATAATTTTTAGGGTTTAATAAATTCTCAGCATAGACATAGAACATTATGTAATAAAATCTCATGTAAATAGGAATGTTCTATTTCCTTATAAATCAGAATATCTTGTAATATATAATTTAACTCAATAAGAATTCTAAAGAATTAGACTGTAAGTTTGCTCTCCTTATTTTTGCTGTCTTTCATAGTGTTTCTGCCAAGTGTGATGAACTATTACTACTTGAAACCTCCAGTATTCTAGAGCCTTATTTCTTAGATATCCAAAAGTGATAAAAGATTTACATGGAATATTAAAAACTAAGCAACGTATGAGATGAAGGGGGTTGAAAAGACTTGTGTTCATGTATAGTTATTGCAAGTGCTGTATAATGCAGGAACTTTGGATTTATTATGAAAACATGTCCTTGGGCACTAGAAACATTTTCTCTCTTAGCATTTCCTAAAATGCCCAGTATTTACTAATATTAAGGACAACATCGCAGAAATTGGAATTCTTGAACATAGCTGGAATGGAAAGTGGTTCAGTTGCTGTGGAAAACAATTTGGCAGTTCCTTTAAAAAGTTAGCTATAGAATTACTAAATGACCCCGGAATTCCACTCCCAGCTAAATATTCAACAAAACTGAAAGCAGGTACTTCAGTACTTCTACATGAATGTTCACAGCAGCACTGTTCACAATAACCAAAAGGTGGAAATAATCCAAGTGTCCTGGGGCGCCTGGGTGACTCAGTTGGTTAAGCAACTGCCTTCGGCTCAGGTCATGATCCCAGGGTCCTGGGATTGAGTCCCGCATCGGGCTCCCTGCTCGGCAGGGAGTCTGCTTCTCCCTCTGACCCTCCCCCCTCTCATGCTCTCTCTCTATCTCATTCTCTCTCAAATAAACAAAATCTTAAAAAATAAATAAATAAATAAATAAAATCTTAAAAAAAAAAAAAAGAAATAATCCAAGTGTCCACCAGTGGATGAATGGATAAACAAAATGTGGTATGTGTATGTATATACATGTATACACATACGTATACATAATGGAATATTGATTACCCATACAAGGGAAGTGTTGTTGAATGTTATAACATAAGCCTCAGAAACATGGTAAGTGAAAGAAGTCCGACACAAAGGACCATATATTGTGTGAAATGTGCAGAATAGGTAAATCTATAGAGACAGACGGCAAATTGGTGGATTCTAGGGCCTGAGGAGAAGAGAGCATGGAGACTGATTGATTAATGGTTATGGATTTATTTGTTTTTTTAGAATGATGAAAATGGGAACTAGGTAGAGGTGGTAGTTGCATGACATTGTGAATATAGTAAATATCACTGGACTGTATACTCTGAAATGCTAATTTTATATTATGTGTATTTTTACATCAATAAAAAATATACTTGAAAAAAGTACTATTGCAAAAATTGTTGATTTTTATCTGTATCTTGAGTGCCAGGGTTCTTGCAATGATAATGTAAGATTAAATGATAAAAATATTAATGATAATTAATGAAAAAATAACTGCTTAGCAAAACAGATGTAAATATATCTTCTTCAACTTAATAGATATTAGCTACCAAAGCTTGACAGCTAACTTCACGTTGAATGATAAAACTTGAGAGATGTTCCCTAGTTGTTTGGCAGTGAGGTCTGCTGCAACTTCTCTCCTGAGCTGGAGAGACTTTCCCAGATGTTGTATTCATGGGAATCATGACTGGGGCCAATGTTTATATGGTACTTCTCCTACATGGACACCACCATAGAGTGAGGGATATTCACACCCTCAGAAATGCCCACAAATTCTCTCCAGAGGCAAAAGCCACTGAAACAATCCTGCTTCTAGCGAGCATCTTCATTTTTTTCTTTACTTCACCAATTCTGTTCTTACAGTTTATCATATTTTTTGTTTTTTCTTTTTTTTTTTTTTAAAGATTTTATTTATTTATTTGACAGAGAAAGACACAGCGAGAGAGGGAACACAAACGGGGAGTGGGAGAGGAAGAAGCAGACTCCCTGCCGAGCAGGGAGCCCGATGCGGGACTCGATCCAGGGACTCCAGGATCATGACCTGAGCCGAAGGCAGTTGCTTAACCAACTGAGCCACCCAGGCGCCCCAAGATTCTACTCTTAAATGGTGAACAAAAAATCTCAAATTACTAATGATGCATTCACAACAATTTCTCTTTTCTTCAAAGAATCTAGTTATTCACTTACTCGAGCAAAGATATATGGATGCCTAGAACATGACAGACACATACCCAAGATACTGATGATGAAAATATTTATATGATATTGACCTAGTCATGTAGAGGCTTTCAGCTTCATATAGAAGGCAATCAAATAAATACAATACTGCATAAATGTTAATAGTATCTTGATGCTTTGTTATTTTTTTTCTTTGAAATACTTGATGAAAGCATGGAAATAAAGTTGGACAGAAATAATTTTGGGACATCAGAATTTTTAGTGGTGTATTAGGACGATTATTAAATTGGATGCAGTATTATGTAGTGATAAGCAGTCATCGTTGAGATAGAAGAACTAAAAAGCTATTCATTCTGATTTCCTGCTGTGTAAAGTGGAGTATGTGCAATTATTAAAACATTTGTATTGTAAAATATACCATACAGAAAAGTATGTTAAATAGTCACACATGCAGGTATCAGTTTAACATAAAATGGCAACAGCTATGTGTGAACAACTATCTACTACCACTCAGATCAAGCAATAGAACATCCCAGAAGCCCTGTTTATCCCAGAAAACACCCTTCCCCTCATTTTCTATGGTCTAGATCTCTTCACAGAGACAACCCTGGAGTGCTTTCTTGAGTCAATTTCACTTCTCTAGATTTCTCCTTTGCTAGAGACATCCTTAGAGCCCCTTCTGCTGGATCCCCTTTTCGTTGCCCAGGGAAGATTTTCTTTCTGTAAGGACCTCAAAACTCTCCCCAAACAGCCAAGATGTCCCTGAACCCTTAAGGCAATGGGGCTAAGTGAATACATCATCATCCTTTTAGGTGTAGCCTAAGGGTGAGGTCCAGAAAGTTCCCCAGTTGCAGGAGCTCTGTCCCTGTGGAGTTGGAGTGCACCATCCTCTGGCACATGGATAGATGTTCACCAACCTGGAAGCTCTCTGTAGTTTATGGATTTTTTTTAAAGTAAGCTCTACACCCAATGTAGGGCTTGAACTCACTACCCTGAAATCAAGAGTTGTATGCTCTACTGACTGAGGCACCCTGTTTATGGATTTATTTTTATGGAGATTTAATCACATGGGCAAGGCTTAATTTGACAAAGGGAGTTTACAAAAATCTTTGGTAAACATCATACTTAAAGGAGAAACTTTGAAATCAGGAAGAAGACAATGCTGCTTCATCACTCCCTTTCAACATCGGACTGGAGGTCTCATCCAGTGCAAAAGGGAAAAAAAGGGGGGCGCCTGGGTGGCTCAGTTGTTAACCATGTGCCTCCGGCTCAGATCGTGATCCCAGGGTCCTGGGATGGAATCCCTGTGTCGGGCTCCCTGATCAGTGGGGAGCCTGCTTCTCCCTCTCCCACTCCCCCTGCTTGTGTTCCCTCTCTCGCTGTCTCTCTCTGTCAAATAAATAAAATATTAAAAAAAATAAATATGGAAAAGAATGGGGGAAACTCACTATTTAAAGAAAATATGGGGGCACCTGGGTGGCTTAGTCGGTTGGGCGTCTGCCTCGACTCAGGTCATGATCCAGCTCCCTGCTTGGTGGGAAGCCTGCTTCTCTCCCTTTCCCTCTGCCATTCCCCCCAGCTTGTGCCCTCTGGCTCTCTCTCTCTCTCTGTCAAATTAAAAAAAAAAGAGAGAATATGACTTTTTGTAAAAATCTAGAATAACTGCTTTATGTTCCTTTAGGTGATTGTCAGCCAGCTGCAGCCAGGAGAGGGGACACAGGAGAGTTGCAGGAAAAAAAGTTTATTATACTCACACGTCCTGAGTCATTGCTTGCTGAGAGGAGGTTGCTCAGGAAGGAGTGCCAGGGGATCAGTCTCAACCAAGGAAATGAAGTGAGAGCAAGGATCCATGAGTAAATGCCCTTATTGAGGGTCAGGAAGTACCCCCTATTAGAAGTGCCCTATTGGGGGAGTACACAAGAAAAGACTGGAGAATATTTCCGTGTGAAACTAGGTCACACGGAAGGGTAGGAAAAGGAACTTGTGCAGGGGCGAACGCTATTACAGGGATACACCTGGTTGCCTGATTGGTGTACTCTAGGCCTGTTTATGGGGATGTTGAGGCAGTGGGAAAATACGAAGTTTCAAAAATTTACAACACAATAGTCACAAAAACGATGAGAATTAATAAGACAGTTTATCAGTTTTGCTTGGTATAATATCAATATACAAATCGATTGTATTTCTATATACCAACAGAGAGTTAGACAATGAAATTGTAAAATATCACTTAAAGAGCATTAAAAATTTCAGGTATCATGAAATGACCCTAATAAAAACGTATAAGACTACTGTAAGAAACATTACTCAGAACTTTATTCAGAGACATTAAAGATTCAACTAAGTGGAGTGATACACCGTGTTCATGAATTTTAAGACTTATTATTGTAGAGATGTCACTTAAAGGATTTATGGATTCAATGCAGTACCCATACAAATCCCGAACACTTTTTTTCTTTCGGTGGAAGCTGACAAGGTGAGTTAAAATTTATTTTTATTTTTTTTTTTGAGAGAGAGAATGAGATAGAGAGAGAGCATGAGAGGGGGGAGGGTCAGAGGGAGAAGCAGACTCCCCGCCGAGCAGGGAGCCCGATGCGGGACTCGATCCCGGGACTCCGGGATCATGACCTGAGCCGAAAGCAGCTGCTCAACCGACTGAGCCACCCAGGCACCCCATCTTTCTTTTTTTTTTTAATAAAGATTTTATTTATTTGAGAGAGAATGAGATAGAGAGAGAGCATGAGAGGGGGGAGGGTCAGAGGGAGAAGCAGACTCCCCGCCGAGCAGGGAGCCCGATGCGGGACTCGATCCTGGGACTCCAGGATCATGACCTGAGCCGAAGGCAGTCGCTTAACCAACTGAGCCACCCAGGCGCCCCATCTTTCTTTTTTTTTTTTAATAAAGATTTTATTTATTTGAGAGAGAATGAGATAGAGAGAGAGCATGAGAGGGGGGAGGGTCAGAGGGAGAAGCAGGCTCCTCGCCGAGCAGGGAGCCCGATGCGGGACTCGATCCCGGGACTCCAGGATCATGACCTGAGCCGAAGGCAGTCGCCTAACCAACTGAGCCACCCAGGCACCCGATAGGTCTTCTGGTTTTGTTTGTTTTTTTTTTTTTTAAGATTTTATTTATTTATTTGAGAGAGAGAGAGCATGAGAGGGGGGAGGGTCAGAGGGAGAAGCAGACTCCCTGCCGAGCAGGGAGCCCGATGCGGGACTCGATCCCGGGACTCCAGGATCATGACCTGAGCCGAAAGCAGCTGCTCAACCGACTGAGCCACCCAGGCGCCCCATCTTTCTTTTTTTTTTTAATAAAGATTTTATTTATTTGAGAGAGAATGAGATAGAGAGAGAGCATGAGAGGGGGGAGGGTCAGAGGGAGAAGCAGACTCCCCACTGAGCAGGGAGCCCGATGCGGGACTCGATCCCGGGACTCCAGGATCATGACCTGAGCCGAAGGCAGTCGCTCAACCAACTGAGCCACCCAGGCGCCCCATAATTTTATTATTTTTTAAAAAGATTTTATTTATTTATTTGACAAAGCAAGGGAGCACAAGCAGGGGGAGCAGCAGAGGGAGAAGCAGGCTCCCCGCTGAGCAGGAAGATTGATGCATTGATCCCAGGACCCTGGGATCATGACCTGAGCCGAAGGCAGTCGCTTAACCAGCTGAGCCACCCAGGCGCCCGAGTTAAAATTTTATTTGAAAATATAAAGGGCCTAAAGAACAGAGGCTTGTAGAAAAAGACTATGGCAGGAGGCCTTGCCTTATCAGACTGTAAGACTCAGAAAGCTCCCGTGGCTAAAACATGGTGCTGGCGCAGGGATTAGCAAGAGAACAATTGGAACAGAACATCCAAAATCAGAGCCATGCAGATGGGGACACTTGACTTAGGATGGAGATGGTTCGACCTAGCAGTGGGGAAATCGACTAAATAATGCAGCTGGGATCATTATCTACACAGTATTCACAAAAACAGGTGACCGGGCGGGCCGTGACTAACGAGGATACACAGGATCCTTCTTTAAAGTGCCCAGTTTATCTTGGGACGCGAGATCCAAGCAATGTTCTTTTGGCGTGGATCGCGGTTGCCAGTCTCTGGTCCACCGCCGTTCCCGGTCACGACGCACACATCCTCCTGTCGCCTCTGCTTCTTCAGATCCACTTCTACTCTCCTAATCCCCGTTTTCTTCGAACGTGCCTCCAGCGTCCTCGCCGCCCCCAGTCCCCTGCCCCCAGGTCCGCTCTTCGCTGTACGGATCCAGACCTTCCCACTATGGCCGCGCCCACCGAGCGGCGTCCGAAGGGCGACGAGACCGAGCGGGCGCAACCATTTCCGGCTCAGGCCTGGCCTGTGATTGGCTTAGCGCTCCGCTCGGGTCGAGAGCGATGAAGTCCTACTAAGCATGCGCGACGGCACTGACAGGCGCTGCCAGGGCGGCAGAACCGGAGAGAAGTCTTGCAAAGAAGAGGAAGGATGGGAGGCATTTGCACCTTTCTGGTCTGGCCGGCCAGCTCCGGCCGCCTAGGGTGGCCATCTCGCTCTCCGTACGGCGCACGACCCAAGATGGCGGCGCCCGGCCCACAATGGCCGCCACCACCGCATCGCAACGAAATCGACGCGGCGACGCTGCCCAGCGATAAAATCCTAACCAGGGCCAGGATGAGGGTTTGTGGATTGATTGCTGACTCCAAAGTGCCGCTGATTCCGAGACTCGGGCCCCAAACCGGATGAGCGGAAGCGGAAGTGGCGTACGGAAGCTCGGGTTCCCACGGCGTGAGGTCGCGGATTCGCGGTCGAGGTTGGTTGGGTTTCTGCTAGGCGCTTTCGGAGCCCCGCACTGTGGGAGTTGTGCGACTCGAGATGCGGTTCGTGGTGGGTACTCGTGGGGGGTTACTGTTTCTGGGGGCTCCGGGGTCGGCAGGGGCGTTGGCGGAAGCCTGGGCTGGCGTTAGCGTTTAGAACGAGAGACCGTTCCTGCTGACCGCGACAGATGGGCTCCGGGTCGTGCCCCGGGCCGCACATGGAGGCGTTGGGAGAGCCACTGACCGGGGAGCCCGTCGGGGTCTGGTCGGTGAGGGAAGGATTGGGGGTCACCTGAGGTTCCTAGGGTCCGAGTGGGAGCATCCGACGGGCCGATGATCCCTGTGGGGGCTGTGAATGGTGCGACAGCAAAGTGCAGGGTGTCCGTGGGAGAGGTGTGTGGGATTGGAATGCGAGGAGCCGCAGGGAGACCCTTGGGTGCGTGTATTGGGTGTTCCGTTTCCCAGCTTTTTGTGCTGAATTTTTTTTTTTAAGATTTTATTTATTTATTTGAGAGAGAGAATGAGAGAGAGAGAGCACATGAGAGGGGGGAGGGTCAGAGGGAGAAGCAGACTCCCCGCCGAGCAGGGAGCCCGATGCGGGACTCGATCCTGGGACTCCGGGATCATGACCTGAGCCGAAGGCAGTCGCTTAACCGACTGAGCCACCCAGGCGCCCCATCTTTCTTTTTTTTTTTAATAAAGATTTTATTTATTTGAGAGAGAATGAGATAGAGAAGAGAGCATGAGACGGGGGAGGGTCAGAGGGAGAAGCAGACTCCCCGCCGAGCAGGGAGCCCGATGCGGGACTCGATCCCGGGACTCCAGGATCATGACCTGAGCCGAAGGCAGTCGCTTAACCAACTGAGCCACCCAGGCGCCCCAATAGGTCTTGTTTTTTTTTTTTTTTTTTAAAGATTTTATTTATTTATTTGACAGAGAGATAGAGAAAGAGCACAAGCAGGGGGAGTGGCAGAGGTAGAGGGAGAAGCAGGCTCTCCGCTGAGCAGGGAGCCCGATGCGGGACTCGATCCCGGGACCCCAGGATCATGACCTGAGCCGAAGGCAGTCGCTTAACCAACTGAGCCACCCAGGTGCCCTATTTTTTATTTTTTTAAGATTTTATTTATTTATGTGAGAGAGACAGAGATAGCCACAGAGATAACGAGCAAGAGAGGGAGAAGCAGGCTCCCCACTGAGCAGAGAGGCTCCATCCCAGGACCCCAGGATCATGACCCAAGCCAAAGGCAGTCGCTTAACCGACTGAGCCACCCAGGCGCCCCATCTTTCTTTTTTTTTTTTAATAAAGATTTTATTTATTTGAGAGAGAATGAGATAGAGAGAGAGCACGAGAGGGAGGAGGGTCAGAGGGAGAAGCAGGCTCCCCGCCGAGCAGGGAGCCCCATGCGGGACTCGATCCCGGGACTCCAGGATCATGACCCGAGCCGAAGGCAGTCGCTCAACCGACTGAGCCACCCAGGCGCCTTTTTGTGCTGAATTTAAGCGTACAGAAAAGTCGAAAGAATAGCCCAATGGTTCACCCGCCATGAATAGATCGACGAGTTAAAACCGTGCAGTGAACACTTAGAATGTGTGTGCGTATCAGCGAGTGTACACGTGCGTTTGCACGCGCATGAAATCACGTTAGCCCTAGCTTTTCCAGTTAGCAGTAATCGCTCCTCGGATAAACCGCATTGGCTACGCTGCGGCCACCGCGCGAAGCTAGTACTAGCTTTTTATGTCCGTTCTGCTTCATGTTTGTGTGATTTGGCGTAAGGTGCTAAATTCTTTAATTCTCGGTTTTCCCATTCAAACACATTGGTGTGTGTCTCACAGGTACTTCTGAGGGCCCTAACTTCATGACCTCATCTAAACCTAATTACCTCCGGAAGGCTCTGTTCCCAAATACACATGAGTTTGGGGGCTGAAATTTTTTTTTTTTTTATTTTTAAAAGTAGGCTCCACGCCCAAGGTGGGGCTTGAACTCACAACTCTGAGGTTAAGAGTCACATCCTCTACCGACTGAGCCACCCAGGCACCCCTGGAGGATACAAATATTAAGTCCATAACAGGTAGGTACTTGACAGAAGGTAGCTATTACTATTTAAATGTATACTTTCCTAATGGGAGTTTTTATATTTCAAACAATTCTGTTAACTTTTTAAATTAGATTTATATATAAACATACACATACATATTTTCTAACTATATGTATTTATGTTTCATATTAAATGGAGTTCTCTTCAGTTTTTGTATCACAATATCATTATATCCTTATCATCAATAAAAGCAGATAAAAATCACCTTAAACTATCTGTAATGTTTTGAAATGTATTTTTTTTTTTTTTAAAGATTTTACCCATTTATTTGAGAGAGAGAGAATGAGAGAGAGCACATGAGAGGGGGGAGGGCCAGAGAGAGAAGCAGACTCCCCGCCGAGCAGGCAGCCCGATGCGGGACTCGATCCAGGGACTCCAGGATCATGACCTGAGCCAAAGGCAGTCGCTTAACCAACTGAGCCACCCAGGCGCCCCTGAAATGTATTTTTAAACTGAATTATATTTTATGGATATTTTTCCTTTTTTAATGGGTAAAGTAGACTGGATTAAATGCGTATTTCAAAGGCTTCTGATTTAGTTTTACCAGACTCCCCAGTAATGTTCCATTATCTAATGCTTCCACACAGTGTGCCAGGTTTTTCTACATCTTTAGCAACAGTGGGTAAATCATCCTTTCATATTTAGAAAAAGTGATTAGCCTCAGCTTTTCTTTATAGTTTTGTTTAAAAAGGTCATATTTGATTATCTGAAAATGGAAAAGTCTTCATCCTTGTTCCATCTTCCTGGTCTCTCCTTCTAACCCTCCCAAACTTTGGAACTACTGTTCACAAATTAGTATGTATTATTCCTTTGACTTGTATAATTTTATCACATGTATATGAATATACTCTTAACGGTAGTGAGAGTACGCTCTTTAGTTTTTCTAGTTTGTAAGTTTTATAATAAGGATATTATAATGTGGTCTTCCGTGCTTTTCTTGATTCAGTACAAGTCTGTGATTCATTCATCTTGCATGTTGGCTTGTTTCATTAATATGAATTTCATTGCATAAATACAATGTAGTTCATGCATCCATTCTCCTGCTGTCAGACATTTGTATTGTTTCTGGGTTTTGGCTGTTAAAAGTAGTGAAGTTCTGAAAAGTCTTGTATGTCTCACAGTCATTGTGAGAATTTGTGTAGTCTAGGCTAAATACCTAAAAGTATAATTTCTGGGATGCCTGGGTGGCTCAATCGGTTAAGTGTCTGCCCTCGGCTCAGGTCATGATCCCAGGATCCTGGGATCGAGTCCCACATTGGGCTCCGTGCTCGGCAAAGAGTCTGCTTCTCCCTCTGCCTCTGCCGTCCCCCCTGCTTGTGCTGTCTTTCTCTCTCTCGCTCTAACAAATAAATAAAAAAAAATTTTTTTTTTTTTAAAGATTTTATTTATTTTTTTTGTCAGAGAGAGAGAGCACAAGCAGGGGGAGCGGCAGGCAGAGCAGGTAGAGGGAGAAGCAGGCTCTCTGCCAAGCAAGGAGCCCGATGCGGGACTCGATCCCAGGACCCTGGGATCATGACCTGAGCCGAAGGCAGACGCTTAACCGACTGAGCCACCCAGGCGTCCCACAAATAAATAAAATCTTAAAGAATAAAAATAAAAGTATAATTTCTGACACAAAGTAGATGAATTTTTATCTAGAAGGAAAAGCCAGATTGCTTTTGTACCACCTTACTCTGTCATAAGCAGTGTATAAAAGTGCCTGTTGATCCATAAGCTTTCCAACACTTAGTATTTTCATTCTTGCTGTTTGACCGTCTTTTGGGTATAAACATCATCTCATTGTGGTCTCCATATGCACTGTTCTCATTACTAACAGCGTTGATCATCTTTTTATATGTTTATTGGCCAATTTTATTTTTTTATTTACTTATTTTAATTTTTAAATTTCAGTATAGTTGATGCACAATGTTACATTAGCTTCAGGTGTACAACATAGTGATCCACCATCTTTATATATTACATGGGCCAATTTTAAAACTGAGAAGTTTGTCTTTACTCCACATATTTGGAATGCTCGTCTTTCGGTGGTTATTTTGTAATAAACAATTTGTCTGGCCTTTGTCCCCAGTTCCTGGGAAATAGCCTCTAAATTGTTGGAATGTCCTGAGTGACAGGAGTGTCTTTGTTATTCATGGTGGGTCTGTAGATAGCTGTGCCAGTGGGGTGACTCAGGATGGGGCTGTTTATGCCAGAAAAACCAACCCTGTGATTAGAGGGTTGAGGCTTTGAGCCTGGTGATACCAGCCCAACCTCCGAGATGGTAAGGGTGCTGGAGGTTGAGTCACATGGCCAGTGATAAGATCAATCATGCTTACTTAAAGAAATTCTAATAAAAACTATAGACGCTGAAGCTCGGATGAGCATCTGTGGTTGGCAGTACCCTACATATTGTCACTCATAGATATGCTGGATGAGTAATGTGTCCCTGACTCCAAAGGGATAGGACAATGGAAGCTTCTGGTTTGGGAGGATCCCAAATCTCACTTACCCTATTGTCTCTCTCCATTTGACTGGTCATGATTTGTATCCTTTTGCTATAATGATATAGTTTTAAAATTATTTATTTATTTAAAGAATTGTATTTATTCATTTGAGAGAAGAGAGCATACGTCAGAGCACATGAGTTGGGGGAAGGGCAGAGGGAGGAGAGGGAGAAGCAGACTCCCCGCTCATCACGGAGCCTGAGTAGGGGTTCCATCCCAGGACCCTGAGATCATGACCTGAGCCGAAATCAAGAGTCAGATGCTTAACCCACTGAACAACCCAGGTGTCCCTCCTTTTGCTATAATAAAACTTCTGTCTTGCACACTTTCCCCCCAGGTAACTTGTAAATACTGTTTTTTCTCCCCCTTTTAAATCTTGTTGTTTGTTTGAATATGAAATTGCAATTAATGTTTATATTGATACTAAAGCAATTGCATAATGACAGTTTTGTTTCTTCTTTTCCAGTCTTCATTCCTTTATTTTTCCCATTTTATTGCTTAGGTTTTTATCTGTGGTACATTTTTGACTAAATGTTGAGAGAGAGGTTATCCCTGTCCCTAAGTTTAAAGAAATGCCATGGATTATTTTGTAGATACTCTTCCTTGTCTATTTCTAGTTTAGTAATATATATTTTTTTAATTGTCAGTGGTGGGGCACCTGGGTGGCTCAGTCAGTTGAGCAGTAGACTTTTAATTTCAGTTCAGGTCATGATCTCAGGGTCCTGGGATTGAGCCCCATATTGGGCTCTGCGCTCAGCAGGAGGTCTATTCAAGGACTCTCTCCTCCTCTTCCTCTACTCACTATCCTTGCATTCCTGGAATAAAGTCAGCTGTGTCTAGTATGATTCTTCCTGTATTTCGTTTTCTTAGTGATCTTCCTATGTATCAGTGGATGTGGTTTCTCAGTATTTTATTTAGGCTTTTTATAGCTAATTTAATAAATGCAATTGGCCTATAAATGTCTTTCTCATATTATCCTTGAAATCCAGTACTGTTTCCTTCAGTTGTCCTATAGCCTAAGACACAGAGTTGCATTTTCCTTCAGAGTTCTCAGCAGTGTGATATTGAGAATATGAAGCTGTGTTAATATATTTCTAGGGTGTCCTGGCATCTCTAGATTACTCTCTGTTAAATTTATTTTTCATAGCCAGAGTTAATTCTTTAGCAGTCAGCACTGTTTAGAGTATGTAAGAGACCAGCTGAGTTTTTTGTGAAGATGAAGTCTCAACAAGAGATATGTATTTGAGATTTCAGTTGAGACTTAATTGCAGAGTTTAAGGACACACAAAGTGTGTGTCAGAGGCAGATAGCCTGTATTTGTTTTGCTTTTTGTAGGCAAGTTTAGCTTAATTGAGGTATAATTTACCTACAGTAACTCTTACCAGTTCTTCATGTACAAATTTGATGAGTTTGTCAAAGGTACACCAACGTGTAACCTCTTCTTGAATCAATACATAGAACTTTTACGTCAACCCCAAAAGTTCCCTGGTGTCCCCTTTCCATTTGAGACCATATTTCCATCCTCTGTTACCTCGTGATCATTTATGTGCTTTCTATAGTTACATGTATTCTAATACCTCATATAAACTGAGTTATACAGTAACTAGTTGTGTCAGCGGGAGTCCCATTCCCTGGCCTCAGGTCTTGGGTTCCGCCAAGAAAGAATTCAGAGCCAAACTCTTAAGCAGGCAAAGGTTTAATAGCAGTTTAAGCAAAAGTACATTCTTGAGATGGGAGAGCGAGCAGGCCCAGAGGTTGCAGCTGCACCCTGGGTCAGGGTTGTTTTTTCTTTTTGTGTTTGGATAGGTTATGGGTCATAGGTAAGGTGGTTTCTGACTGAGGTTGCAGCCAGTCATCTAAGGGACTCCATCTACTGGAGGAATTTTTGGCCTCATATGGTCCTTGTCGGAACTGTCATGGCAGCCATTCTCTGGGGAGGGGGTTAAAACCACAGTGTAAATGTATTATAATAAAGCTCCAGGTTACTGTAGGGCAGTGGTCATAGGGAAGAATGCAGGCATATCCCATGGGGCCTTTCCCAGGTGTTTGGAGCTTGGCCTCCTCCCTTTTACAATCAGAAATCACTTGTTCCACGCTTATATCTAGCTAACTGCCTACTCTGTCAGTCGCTTAGAATAATGCTTTTCATCTTCATCCATGATTTTGCATTTATCATGAGTGTATTCCTCTCCGCTGCTGAGTAATAATCGGTGGCACAGATATGCTGCAACATGTTCATTCCCCAGTTGATGGATGTTTTGGATTTTGGGGGTCGGTTTTGGATATTCTGAATAAAGCTGCAGTATGCATTCATGTACAAGTCCAGGTGGCTGTACCATGTTATATTTTTACCAGCAGTGCAGGAGAGTTCTTCTTCTTTACATCCTAGTCAGTACTTAGTAATTTCGGTCTTTTAAATTATAGCCATTCTGGGGCACCTGGCTGGCTCAATTGGTGGAGCACGGACTCTTGATCTTAGGGTTGTCAGTTTGAGCCCCAAGTTGGACCTAGAGTAGATAGATAGATAGATAGATTAAATTACTGCCATTCTAATGGGTTTGTAGCAATATTTTATTTAGGTTTTAATTTGCTTTTGTTGTGTAACCTAAAGCAGCTTTTTGTGTTTTTATTAGCCATCTCTCTACTTTTGGAGAGGGAAGTGTCTGTTTAAACTTTTATTTCTTTTTTACTAGATTGTCTCTTTTGTGAAGTTGGAAAAGTTCTTTTTATTTTTTATTTTTTTAAGATTTTACCCATTTATTTGAGAGAGAGAGAATGAGAGAGAGCACATGAGAGGGGGGAGGGCCAGAGAGAGAAGCAGACTCCCCGCCCAGCAGGGAGCCCGATGCGGGACTCGATCCAGGGACTCCAGGATCATGACCTGAGCCGAAGGCAGTCGCTTAACCAACTGAGCCACCCAGGCGCCCTCTTTTTATTTTTTAGATAGAAGTCTTTTAGTCAGGTATGCATTTTTTTTTTTAAAGATTTTATTTATTTATTTGACAGAGAGAGACACAGTGAGAGAGGGAATACAAGCAAGGGGAGTGGGGGAGGGAGAAGCAGGCTTCCCACCGAGCAGGGAGCCCGGTGCGGGGCTCAATCCCAGGACCCTGGGATCATGACCTGAGCTGAAGGCAGACGCTTAAGGACTGAGCCACCCAGGCGCCCCATCAGGTATGCATTTTGTTAATATTTTACTCTAGCCTCTAGCTTGATCCTTCATTTTACAAGTGTCTTTTTTTTTTTAAGATTTTATTTATTTATTTGAGAGAGAGAATGAGATAGAGAGCATGAGAGGGAGGAGGGTCAGAGGGAGAAGCAGACCCCCTGCCGAGCAGGGAGCCCGATGCGGGACTCGATCCCGGGACTCCAGGATCATGACCTGAGCCAAAGGCAGTCGCTTAACCAACTGAGCCACCCAGGCGCCCCCAACAGTTTCAATTCTTTCTTTCTTTTCTTTTTTTTTTTTTTTTTTTTTTTTTTAAGATTTTATTTATTCACTTGAGACACAGAGATACAGAGAGGGAGAGAGAGAGCATGAGCAGGGAGAGAGGCAGAGGGAGGAGGAGAAGCAGGCTCCCCGCTGAGCCAGGAGCCCGACGTGGGGCTCGATCCCAGGACCCTGGGATCATGACCTGAGCCGAAGGCAGATGCTTAACCATCTGAGCCACCCAGGCACCCCAACAGTTTCAATTCTTAAATCTATAATCTATTGAGTTAATTTTGGTATGGGGTAAACATGAATATCCTATTGTTTCAATAGTGTTTGTTAAACATTTTATTATTTTTTATCATGCTCATGCTTGTCTCTAACTTGTTGAATATATGGAGTATATATAATAGCATTTTTGGTGTACTGGTCCACCAGGTCTCTACCTTTAGCCATTTTTGTCTGTTTCTCTTGCTTGATTTTTTCCGCCTAGCTATGGGTCATATTTCCTTGCTTCTGTGCATGTCTGGTAATTTTTGATTGGATGTCATATATTGTGAGTTTCATTTTGTTTGAAGGATTTTCTTTTAATTTCTTTAACTACTTTTGAGGTTGGTTCTGGGATGTAACCAAGTTACTTTGAAACAGTTTGATTCATTGGAGGCTTTCTTTTAAGCTTTATTAGGTGATGCCAAAAGAGTCATTTGTCTAGGATTGTTTTGTCCCCATTTCTGAGATAATATTCTCCTGAGACCTCTGCATTGCATGAGACCAGGCATATTAGAAGGTCTTTCCACCCAGGTTAGTGGGAACGCTTAACTGTTCCTGATCTTGTGTGAGCGCTAGGAATTGTTCCACCTGCTCCTTTCCAGTGGCCTTGGTAGTTTCCGAACAGCTCTTTAGTGCTGAGCCAGAGACTCAAAGGAACCAGAGTGAGTTTTCCCTCTCTTCTCTGGTTTACTGCCTGGCAAGTGTTAGTCATCTTTTCTTCCTCAGACTCTGAATTCTGTATCATTAACTCAGCAACACTGCTAGATTCTTCGGGTTCCTTCTCCCTGTGCTGTGGCCTAGAAAGTCTCCAGGCAGTGAGCTATGGCACATAAGGGTCTCACCTTGTTTCCCTTCTCCTCTGACTTCTGTGTGAGAAAATTGTTGTTTTAGACATGTTTCCTTTTTTTTTTTTAAGTTGGTTAAGATGAAAGGATAGTTCATAATTTGGTAATTTTCCCTGGAATCAGAGATTCTATCAATTCCGAGGGTTTGTGTTTTAATCCTTGGTCCACCCATTACTGTGTGGCTTTTAGCTAGGTGCCTGACCTTTCCTTTCTTGGTTTTCTCTGAAATGGAATAATTACAGTCTACCCCATAGGATTGTGAGGGTTAAATGAGAAAAGAAATGCTTAAAACAGTTCCTTGCATATATAGGAACCTGCTTTTGTTATTATTTCCATGCCAAACAAATCTTTCCTTGAATCCTTAGATGCTGGCTTCCTAGAATGAGGCACTTCCTATAAAGGACAAAGTAGATCTCAAGTCTAGAAGTTCATCCTTGCTGAGGATACCCTTGATGAGACACCTGAATGCTGAAAATGACCAAGTCCCAGGTGAGCTGTTTATTTCCCAGATTTCTAGATGTTTATAAAAATGTATACAATCTGATGGATGCCAGAGTTGGTAAGGCAGTGGGGGGATGGGCAAAATGGGTGAAGGGGAGTGGAAGATACAGGCTTCCAATTATGGAATGAATGAACCATGGTACTAAAAGATACAACATAGGGGGTACCTGGGTGGCTCAGTTGGTTAAGCAACTGCCTTCGGCTCAGGTCATGATCCTGGAGTCCCGGGATCGAGTCCCGCATCGGGCTCCCTGCTCAGTGGGGAGTCTGCTTCTCCCTTTGACCCTCCCCCATCTCATGCTCTCTCTCTCTCATTCTCTCTCTCAAATAAATAAATAAAATCTTTTAAAAAATAAATAAAAGATACAACATAGGAAATATAATCAATGATATTGTAATAGTGTTGTATGGTGACAGATGGTAGCTACATTTGTGGTCAGCATGACTATAGACTTGTTGAATCACTATATTGTACACCTGAAACTAATGTAACATCGTGTGGCAACTATAGTTAACAATTTAACAAATGTATACAATCAAAGTGAATGATATATGTAAATCTGTTGCAGCTGGGAGAAATGTGCTTCGACTGGGAAACAATAATGATCTGGAGTAGCCAGTCAGGAAGGGAGTACTGTCTTAACCTGTATATCTCATGTTGCCAGGTGCTAACAATTGGAACACTGCCACATAGGTGGCAGGATCCAGAGCTGAGTTGCAGACATTTCTGTGGTAATACTGGAAACCATCACAGAAGAAGAAAAACATGTTATAAGATTTACTTTGTATATAAGGAGGAGGCACATGGCCTTTCTGAGTAAATATTTCCCAGAGATTAAATGTGAAGAAGTGTCTTTGATGGGTCTTCCTCTTCTGTTTTTCTCCAGAGTATGGACCCAGTGAATGGTCATCTTCCTAAGGAAATGTGGGAGATATAAAAGGCATAGCTAGAAAACTTTAAAAATCTCTTCTTAGCTACAAAGAGAAGAGTAATTTTTACCTAAGGGTCTTTGTGTAGATCATTGTGTGAACATATGTAAAGTGTTTAGAACAATATACAGCACATAGTAAGAGCTCTGTTTTTGCTTTTATGACTATCATGATTTAATATGTAGCACAATTTCTAAAAGGCAGTTCTGAGCATAACATACTTTTGTATACGAAAAACACTGTAGCATCTACCAAGTGTCTGCAGGAAATGTGTACACTTACTCCAAGTTCTGTTGCTGCCTGTACCCTATTGAACTTCTTGCAGTTCCTTGAACCCAGCATGGTATTTAACGTTTTTAACACATGCTTCCTCTGGAAGACCCACAGCTCCCATGTCTTCCAGCACTTACTGTGGAACACACCACTAAATGTGCTGCACCTCTTCCAGCTTGACCTCTTCTTCAGAACTATTAGTTCCTCACCTACTTGTGCCCATATTTTAACTTGAGTATACATCTGTTGTAACCCTTGTTAAACCATAATGTCTTGCCGTATATGAACTCTGTAAAGGAGTGTACTTGCCACTCTGCAAGATCAGAAGCTACCTGAAGTCAGGACTATGCTTTGTTTCCTTTTTTATTGCAATGTATAGTAGGTAACATTAAATGCTCCTGGGGCGCCTGGGTGGCCTAGTTGGTTAAGTGGCTGACTTTGGCTCAGGTCATGATCTGGGTCCTGGGATTGAACCCCACGTCGGGTTCCCTGCTCAGCGGGGAGTCTGCTTCTCCCTCTCCCTCTGCCCCTCCGACAGCTCGTGCTCTCTCTTTTATAAATAAATAAAATCTTAGGGAGAAAAAAACCCAAAAAAACATCAAATGCTCCTAAGGTCGGTTGCAGATGGTTTTTAGGTGAAGTGTTTTGTTGTTTTTTTTTTTTAAGATTTTTAAAATTTATTTGACAGCGAGAGAGGGAACACAAGCGGGGAGTGGGAGAGGGAGAAGCAGGCTTCCTGCTGAGAAGGGAGCCCGATGCGGGGCTCGATCCCAGGACTCTGGGATCATGACCTGATCTGAAGGCAGACGCTTAAAGACTGAGCCACCCAGGCGCCCCTAGGTAAAGTTTTAACATTTTACATTGGGTGAATGAATGAGTGACGAAGTGAATGAAGACTGCAGAAAGGAGGGGTGCCTGGGTGGCTCAGTCAGTTAAGCATCCAACTCTTGGTTTCAGCTCAGGGCTATGAGATAGAGTCCCGCATCAGACTCTGTGCTCAGTGGCGAGTCTGCTTGAAATTCTCTCTCTCCCTCTCCCTCTGCCCCTCCTTTGATTCTCTCTCTCAAATAAATCTTTTTTTTAAAAAATGCAGAAAGGATTGTTTTAATGGATTTATTAGTGCACAAAGTATAAATCAAAACTAGATATAAAGAAATAACTTGTTTATAAATTTCTATAGTAAAAATAATCAGAATAATATCCTATATATCTTCTATATTTTATTCCATTATATTAACTCTAGATTAAAAAGGATTATGTTATTACAGGGCTTGTTGTCATTCAGTGATGTGGCTGTGGATTTCACCTGGGAAGAATGGCAGCTACTAGATACTGTTCAGAGGAACCTCTACCGGGATGTGATGTTGGAAAATTATAGCAACCTAATGTCTTTGGGTAAAGACAACTTTCCTAAATATCTCAGCATGAGCCCATTAATTGCCTGGTTTTTTTTCCCCATTGACATAATTTATGGGTACTCTGATATCCTTACTGATTTTGGAGTTGTATGGTGGTAGAACTTATTTTATGACCAAATAGTGATGGTACTTACTTTCATTTTCTGAATGAAAAAGTTTCCATTTTGCTGAGATTCCCTGAAATGGAATTTTTCATCATAGGCCCTAACACTGCTCAGTTCTCTGGGATTGCCTCTTGACAGGTTATCAAGCCACTAGGTCAGAAGCAACGGTCCCCTTGGAGAAAGGAGAACAAGGAATGCTAGAGAGAGAATTCCCAAGTCAGTGTAGTCCCGGTGAGTACACCAGTCCAGTGGGAGTTAGTGGAAGCCAAGTGACAGTTGATCATCGGTGTGTTGGGCCCTTGTTATTTTAATATTTTTTCTCATAGTGTCTGAACCTTAAGAGGTGACTTAGAGCAAGTGAAAAGAGGTCATCAGTGTGAATGGTGCTTCCTTCTCTCACCGTATATGATTCATATGCTAGCCGCCTAGCAGAAGGTGTACCTCCTTTTATCTACTCGGGGTCAGATCTTGGCCTGTTTCATTTGGTCTTTCCTTTTTGGCTTAGTTGTTCTTTTGCAGGTCGTGAGACACAGGCTGCCTTCCCCACATCTTATCCATATTCACATAGCTTTTCTATTATGCTTTCAGATATTCATTGATTCCCTCCAGAGTTTGAGGATACCATGTCTTCAGTTCATTACTTACTGTTTCTCTTATTGAATACCTCTGACTTAACATTGTGCACCTGCTGTATCACTTTCTCCATTCTCTTTGGATATTGACTTGAGATTCCATCCCCCCCCCCACCCAATTTCATAATGGTAGGATTCATTGATTTTTTTCCCCTAGAAGTAATGTGGCAAGTTTAGGGTTAGTATCAGGAAAATATTGAGAAGGATGAATCTGTGGAGGGGAATAATGAAAACAATGCATTGGGAAAAATATTTTCTCTGAGCAAAAACTTTGTTTCTTTTGTAGAAAGACCCCTTCAATGTTTCTCAAAAGGAATACGTTTGAAACAAAAGTCAGATTCAAAATTTCAGAGTAAAAACTATGCAGAAATGACTTCTGTTGAATTAAACAGCCATGGGAAACCATTTTTCCATACTCTACATGAAACCTGCCATACTCAGGCCCAGTACAGTGAACATAATTTCTGTGTGAAGACTTTCAGCATGGTGAAAAATCTTAAAAGACATCATAGAATTCACACAGAAGGGAAACCTTATGAATGTAGTGAGTGTCCAAAATCCTTCAGGTATAAGTCAAAGCTCATAATACACCAGAGAACTCATACAGGAGAGAAGCCGTACAGATGCCCTGAATGTCAGAAAGCTTTCAGTACAAAATGTCATCTCACTCTACACCAGAGAACTCATACAGGAGAGAAACCTTATGGATGTATTCAGTGTCCGAAATCTTTCAGAACAAAGTATCATCTCATTCTACACCACAGGACTCATACAGGAGAGAAACCCTATGAGTGCAAAGAGTGTGGAAAAGCTTACAGGGAGAAGACAAAGCTCAGATTGCATTGCAGAACGCATACAGGAGAGAAACCTTTTGAGTGTAGTGACTGTGGGAAAAGTTTTATGCAGAAGTCAAACCTGATTATCCATCAAAGAACTCATACAGGAGATAGACCCTATGGATGTAGAGAATGTGAGAAGACCTTCTGTAGTAAGTCTCAGCTTGTTGTTCACCAGCGAACTCATACAGGAGAAAAATCGTACGAATGCAAGGAATGTGGGAAAGCCTTCAATAAAAACTCGCATCTCCTGACACATCAGAGAATTCATAGAGGAGAGAAACCTTATGAATGCAGTGAGTGTGGAAAAGCTTTTGTATGCACATCACAGCTTATTGTACATCAGAGAAATCATACAGGAAGAAAACCTCATGAATGCAAGGAATGTGGGAAAGCCTTCAATAAAAAGTCACACTTCATAACACATCAGAGAATCCATACGGGAGAGAAGCCTTATGAGTGCAGTGAATGTGGAAAAGCTTTTATAGACAATTCACAGCTTATTGTTCATCGAAGAACTCACACAGGAGAGAAACCTTATGAATGCAAGGAATGTGGGAAAGCCTTTAATAAAAAGTCATCCCTCATAACACATCAGAGAATTCATACAGGAGAGAAGCCTTATGAATGCAGTGAATGTGGAAAATCTTTTATAGACAAGTCACATCTCATTGTCCATCAGCGAACTCATACGGGAGAGAAACCCTATGAATGCAGTGAATGTGGAAAAGCTTTCATACGAAAGGCAATGCTCATTGTTCATCAGAGAACACATACAGGAGAAAAACCCTTTGTATGTCTTGAATGCCAAAAAGCCTTTAGCAGTATGGCAATGCTCAGTAGACATCAGTTGATTCATACAGGAGAGAAACCCCATGGATGCAATGAATGTGGAAAAGCTTTCCGCCAAAAAAGCCATCTTATTATCCATCAACGGTGCCATACTGGAGAGAAACCCTATGGATGTGTTCCGTGTGGTCAGATCTTCAACCAGAAGTCCCAGCTCATTAGACATCAGAGACGCCACACAGGAGAGAAACCATATCAGTGCACTCAGTGTGGAAAAGCCTTTTTTGAGAAATCATACCTCAGTGTCCATCAGAGAAGTCACGCAGGACAGAAACCTTATCAGTGTAATGAGTGTGGGAAAACGTTCTCTGTTAAGTTCTTCCTCACCTCACATGAGGAAATTCATACAGGAAAGAAATTTCAGGAACACAGTGAGCACTGTAAAGACTTTAGTGAGATGTCACATCTCACTGAATACAAGAGAAATCACACAAGACACACCCTATGAATGCTGTGAAAGTTAGGATACTTTTGGTCGGTGTCAGTTTCAGAAAACTTATCCAGGAGAGAGATCTTTTAAGTGCAGTGAATATAAGAAAATTATCTACCACTAGTGTAGCCTCATTTCATTGGGGAAAGGCATATGAATGAGGTGAAAAGTCAAAATCTTTTCTTGACACGTGAAATCCTGTTATACATCACACAGAAGTGGAACCTGAGTGCAACAAATGTTTTTGATGGGTCATCCTCTAATAGTTTTCACCGAGGGAAAAAAAAAAAACAACTCACAAATGTGAAATCTGGAATGCTTTCCAAATGATCACACCAAAGAAAATAGAAGACTGAAGACTTGCGATGAGGAATGCCTCTGGCATGAAGTCTAAACTTACAATGCATCAGATAACACTTAAGAATTAGTGTGGTGTAATGATGCTGGGAAAGGTTGCTTACATATAAACTTTATAACAGAAATTTCGTTCCTGTCACATTGCCATTTATTTATGGAAAATATAACATGAAGTAGTCAGAAAGAGCAAATAACTTCTGTATGCCAAAGGACACTTTGTTTCATATTTGAATATATTGGATAGTCAAAACAGTAAGTTAAGAATGGTCCCAGATGAATGTATTTGTTTTGTGTCTGAGTATTTTTGTAGCACATGTATATAGTAATTTTCAGGTTTCATAAGATCATGAAAGAAAGTTGTATACCACAAAATTGTTTGTAATGTGTAGTATCCATCAAGAAATGCCAACATTGTACATTTTTTAATATATAAATTGCAAGGGAAGTAATTAGGCTTAAGATTAAGACCTTTTTAAAAATTCTTTACTGGTATAACATAGTGGGTCTGGTAATAGTTTTAGCCCTTTGGAATAATAAATTTTTTGAAACAAATTGTCTTCTGGTTGTCACTCAGAAAAAATAAATGCATTAAAAATAGTGAGATTTGGGGCACCTGGCTGGCTCAGTCAGTGGAACATGTGACTTTTTTTTTTTTTTTTTAAGATTTTATTTATTTATTTGAGAGAGAGAGCATGAGCCGGGGAAGGAGCGGAGAGAGAAGCAGGGTCCTCACTGAGCAGGGAGCCCAACGTGGGGCTCGATCCCAGGACTCTTGGAACATGACCTGAGCCAAAGGCAGATGCTTAACCAACTAAGCCACCCAGGCGCCCTGAGCATGTGACTCTTGATCTTGGGGTTGTGTCAGTCCCACACTGGATGTAGAGATTACTTAAAAATCTCTTTAAAAACTATTGAGATTTAAGGGTGATGAGTAATCACACGTCTTCTGTCCCTGAGTTCTGAAAAACTGGAAGCAGCTGCTATTTTCAAAGAAATGAAAACAGCAGATGCACAGGGGAATGTCTTGTACTACCAACAGGCTAACCCAAACAGAAAAAGGAAGTGAGCACAGACTGTATCTGTTTATGAGGGACCTCATAATCCTTTGGTAAGGCAGCACAGCAACTAATAACTATAATTAATAGTAATTAAAATACATATTAATAAAAGTTAATTCACTCTATTGACATTAATTTACTCTGTTGCTGTGAGGTAATTATAGTCAAAGTGTAGTAAACTTCAATAAAGACGATAGGCAAAAATAATCCTATCATTTTAAGAATTACATAGACTTGAACTACATGACAACAGCAGCATGTAAATTGCAAGAGGTATCCTGTATTAAAGTGTTCTACAGTACTTTCTATTTTCCTAAAGAAGTATAAAGTTGTTAACTTTTGAGTGTTAAGAATGCATGTTATTATGGTAAGGATGCACGTTCAATCATTAAGGAAAATAAAGTAATCATTAAGGGAATAGGAGCAGGGTATGTATCTTCCAAACTAGTCAAAGGCAAAGATAAAGAGCAAAAATAGAATGATTAAAAACCCAAAATCATCACGAACCCAAAAGAAGGCTAAAAAGTAGAGTTTAATAAAGAAACAGAGTAAGTACCCAAATAGAAAGAGGTAGGATCAAACAAAAATTTGTCAGTAAGTTAAACGTGAATGAATTAAATGCTCTGGTTAATATACAGACTTGTTATTGTCAGACTTGATAAAATTAAAATACTGTTTTTTTAAAATGAAATAACCACATAAAACATGGATTTTACGAAAAAGCATCTCATGCAAATACTAAACATGACAAAACTAGTACAACTAAATATCAGAAAAAAATAATCTCTAAGGGGACAGTCACTAGTCATGGGAAGAAATGCTGAATTCATACATCAAACAGGGACTCAAATTAAGTAAAAATATAAGATTTATAGAGACAAATTTACAATCAGAGATTTTAATCCTTTAATACCAGTATATTACAGAATAAACTGATAAAATGTTTGTAAAAATAAGTTTTGAACATACTACATAAAAATAAGTATAATGGAGGTATTATATAAAACATCCTCAAAATGCACAGAATTTTCAAGCACTTCAAAGTTTACCATGTTTGCCATGTTCTGAGCTATAAAGCAGATTTCAACAAATTTCAAAGTTTGAACTAAATAATGTGCAATCGGGTTCTGTTAAGCTCACAAACAGAAGTCAATGACAAAAATTAGCTAGGAATCTATAACTTTGGAAATTAGGAAACAATTCTAAATATTTTATTTAGAAATAATTATTTTTCCAACTTTGCCATCTAATCATTAAGTATAAAAAGGTTGAAAATCTAAATAATAATGGTCCCTATGTACCTACAAAATAGATTCGACAAATTTAACCATTTTGTTATGTACCTGTTTTCCATTTAGTTATCTACCTATTTATTTTTTCAAAATCATCTGAAATTAAAGATACCATGACACCTTACTTGTATATTATCATGCATCCCCTGCATAATATTCATGACATTATTACCAAACCTAAGAAATTAAATAGTGGAAATTAAAACACTGGGGGTTTCCTAAGTGATAAGAGCCATAAAAGTGTACACAAGGGGCGGCTGGGTGGCTCAGGCCTTAAACGTCGGCATTCGGCTCAGGTCAGGATCTCAGGGTCCTGGGATCGAGCACCCGGTCGGGCTCCCTGCAGGGAGCCTGCTTCTCCCTCTCTTCCCTACTCCTGCTCTCTCACTATCTCTGTCTCTCTCAAATAAATAAAATCTTAAAATTAAAAAAAAAAAGTGTACACCAGGACATTTTGCTGCAGCCTGACAACAGGTCACATTAACATGACTCGTCCCGTTTGAGTCTGGGTCTCCACTTTGTCCTTGGGATATCACAAAAGCCCTCTTCTGCTGTGTCTTCGAAGAGGAACTCAAAAGCAAGGTCTTTATGTGACCTCTCCAACCCGCAGATAGTTTGGAGGCGTTCAGGTGAAGTATGCTTTTTTTTGGGGGGGTGATATAACTTTAGCCTTTTGATTTCCCAGGATGTGTAACAGATTGGAGTTTGGAGTAGGGCCGGTTCGTTTGATCTGCAGAGCCCACCAGATGCTTCCAGAAATGCAGCAGCTCTCCTCTGCACTTCTTCTAGGTTTAGGATTGGCAACGGTGTACCCCGTCCGACCCTTCTCCGGCTGTGGCCCGGCCCTCGGGCACCTGGAAAGCGCCGCGCCGCTGAGCTCTGGCCGGCGCCCCCGGGGGGGAAGCTCCCCCTGGCCGCCATCCGTCCCTCTTCCTCACCGTCAGGCACGCAACCTGTCTTCACGGTTGGCTTCCCGGTTCTACCAGCCCTGGTGCCTCCTCTTCCACGACCTCTACTTCCAAATACCCTAGAGTTACTTCTCGTCAATGCACGTGTCTACTGTGCCCCGTGCAGAGCACGATGCCCTTCATCAGAGGTCGCCCTGGATTCGGCGGTCTGGTGCAAGACCAACCATCTCTCCGGCTGCAGGTAACCCGTCGGCCGCCGGGGAGGCGCGCCGGGTGGGCCGCGCTACTGAGCATGCGTACCGGCCCCCGGAGGGGCAGCGCGTCGCACGCGCTACTGAGCATGCGTACCGGCCCCCGGAGGGGCAGCGCGTCGCACGCGCTACTGAGCATGCGTACCGGCCCCCGGAGGGGCAGCGCGTCGCACGCGCTACTGAGCATGCGTAGCGGCCCCGGCGCGGAAAGGCTTTCGGGAGGAAGTGAGTGTGAGAGCGGGAGAAGCCGGCGGAGGCTTCTGCCCCGCGCATTATTTCAAGACGACCACTCCCACTGTGAAGCCGATCAGTGCGAGGGGCCGTTATTACTCGCCAGGCGTCAAGGGTGCAGAATTCGAGTCTTCGGAAGGATGCGGCCCTTCCACCTGCTTGGGAGTGAGCGAGAGAAGCGGTCGGCGCTGGGCCGGACGGGAAGCGGAAGTGGTGTGTGCCGTCCTTTCAAACTTCCTGTTCGCCTGAGGTGCGGCGCCTGGTGAGTGCTCGGGGCGGGTGGTGGGATCCCTAACTGATGAAGGCAGCCTGGAGGCGGCTGGCGTTCGGCGGTGGGCTGGGGCGTCTGTGATGAGTGCCTGGAGGGGTGGCTTGGGTGTGAGAGCAGGGTCGCGGGAGCGGGTCAGCGAGGCCAGGGATTCACTCCTCGGGGACTTCTGGTGGTCAGTGTTTGGTTGGCTGTGTGAGCCCGGTAACCTTAGTGTGGTGGGTCCCTGGATGGGGTGACTTGCTTCAGGATAAGATAGCAGTGTGTGGGCGTGAGCGGTTGGAGATCCTCATTTGTGTTTGTGGTTGAGTAGCTTGTCGGGGTTGTGCACAGGTCTGAGAAGTGTGGTGAATTGGGGGAGGTCTTGATGGGCAGGGGGTTTTCGGTAATTTGACTCCACCGCCTCGGAAAATGGGAAAAGCCTTTCTGGGGTACGATTCTCGTAGCCGACACACAGTTGGGTCCATCATACCCAATCACCTGCGCAAGGCCTGTTTCGACTCCCCTTTGACCCCAACTCATACTCTCTTATCCGTTCAGTGAAAAATGAAAATACTTTTAAGTGACTAGATTAAATTAATCTGCAGAAGATGTGTTATGAAAGGTGTGGCTTCTGCCTTTTGTCCTTGGTTTTTTTAAATCTCATTTGCGTTGTTTCTTTTCTGGTCGATCATGAAACAGGTGGTGAGAAACAAGCCAGTTTCCCCCAAATATGCTACCTAGAGATAACAGTTGTTAACTTTTCCTTATGTTTTTTATTTTAGGCTTTTAGAAAAGATTTGAGAGAGAGAGAGAGACCGCTCAAGTCGGGGGAGGGGCAGAGGGAGAAGTAGAGAGAGACTCTCAAGCAGACTCCCCACTGAGTGCCGGCGGGACTTGGGGCTCGATTTCAGGACCCATGAGATCATGACCTGAGCAGAATCAAGCGTCAGATGCTAAACGACTGAGCCATCCAGAAGCCCCTTTATTTTAGGCTTTTTATGCCTTTTAAAGTTATTAATTGAATAACTTCTTAAAACTGACTTTATCATATATACATTCCCATATTCTTTTTAAAATGCTTTTAATAGATTTTTTTAAGATTTTATTTATTTATTTGACAGAGAGAGAGAGAAAGCACACAAACGGGGGGAACAGCAGAGGGAGAGGCAGAAACAGGCTTCCCGCTGAGCAGGGAGCCCGATGCGGGGCCCGATCCCAGGACCCTGGGATCATGACCTGAGCCGAAGGCAGACGCTTAATCGACTGAGCCGACCAGGCGCCCCTAAAATACTTTTTTTAAAAGTTAAAAAAATACTTTTAGTATTTCATCAAGTGAATATACTATGGAATTTTGCCTGGTGTCACATTAAAACTATACATAAATTTAGGAAGAACAATCTGTACTTTTATCTTAATACAGATTGGTCTCTTCAGCTCCTCAAGAAAATTTTCGGGTTTTATTATATAGGTTCTGGATATTCATCTTGTCTTTAATAATTTTTACTGCTATTGCAAGTGTTTCTTTTTTGCCATTTAAACTTTTGTTTCAAATTTTGATGTAAAGAAAAGCAATTAAAATACCTATCTTGGGGTGCCTGGGTGGCTCAGTCCGTTAAACATCTGCCTTCAGCTCAGGTCATGATCCCAGGGTCCTGGGATTGAGCTCCTCATCTGCCTCCACCCTCAGTGGGGAGTCTGCTTGAGGATTCTCTCCCTGTGCCCCTCTCCCACTCACACTTGCACTCTCTCTCTGTCTCTCTCAAAAATAAATAAATAAATCTTTTTTAAAAATCTATCTGGGCCCATTGCTGAATTTTCATTATTATGCATCGTTTTCTGTTTTTTTTTTCTCTCTCGAGATTTTTTTTAGGAAAGCAGTCACAAAATCTTCAAATTATTTTAGTGGAAAGAATGTGGATTTTTAAAGTCTTGGCTTGTATCTCAATTATACCACTAGCTAGAGCATTGGGAAAGTTACCTAAATTCTCTGAGTGTCCAGTTTCTCATTTGTGTAAACTAAATTCATAGTGACTCGAGGGTTGTGAACATTAAGTAAAATCTATGTAGAGGAGCTAGAACAGTGGGTGACGGTTGCACTTTTACCTGTTTCTCTTCTTTTCTTTCAGTTTATACAGTTACATGCTATATTTTTGTGTGTCTTGCCTCTTTCTTCAACATTATGTTTATGAGCTTCATCTATGTTACATGTATCTTTAGTTTCTTATTATTTCATTCATTCATATTATTAATATGGCACAGTTTATTTTTTTCCATTTTACTGTGGATGGACATTGGAATTGTTTCTCATGTTTGGTTATTATACACTGTGCTGTTGTGAACATTCTAGTATACATATCCTGGTTTGCAAGTCTCCATAAGTTTTTCTGAGATGTTTACTTGTTGCTTGATCATAACAATAACTTCACTAGCTAACACCATGTTTTCCCTGAAGGAGCGCTTCTAATTTGCACCCCTGTCAACAGCGTGTGGAAGCTCCTTTTGCTCTAAATCCTTGCCAGCCCCCTGTATTTTCAGATCTTTTGCTTTTGGTCCATCTACTGGGATTGTGGTAGTATCTCACTGTAGTTTTAATTTACATCTTCTTTATTATCAGTAGGACTGGGCCCCTTTTATTATGTTTCAAGGACATTGGATTTCATTTGTATAACATGCCTCTTCAAATTTTTTTGCCCAATTTTTGTTGGGTTATCTGCCCATTTTTAATTTTAATATATTTTTTAACGATGTCATTTATTTGAGAGAGAGAGAGAGAGGGCATGAGCAGAGAGAGGGGCAGAAGGAGAGGGAGAAGCAGACTCCCCACTGAGCAAGGAGCCTGGCGCAGGGCTTGATCCCAGGACCCTGAGATCATGACGTGAGCCAAAGGCAGACGCTCAACCGACTGAGCCACCCAGGTACCCCTTATTTTTTTAAGATTTTATTTGTAAGTAATCTCTACACCCAACGTGGGGCTCGAACTTACAACCCTGAGGTCAAGTTGCATGCCCTACCAACTGAGCCAGCCAGATGCCTCATATCTTCCCATTGTTTAAAAATTGATTTGTTAGTTCTTTATATTTTCTATATATGAGTCCTGATTGGTGATACATGTTGCAGATGTTCTCACATTCTTTGGGCTTATTTTTCACACTTTTTAAAAAATGGTTAAATTTTTTTTAGTAACTATTTTTAATTGCTCTTGTTACTACATAGAAATGCATTAAACTTTATATATTGATTTTGTATCTAGCTATGTTATATAACTTTGTTAGTTTTACTAATATGTTTGAGGAGTCTTTGAATTTTTCTTTGTAAACAACCCTATCAAAAGCAACTTACTGCATTTCTGTTCCATCTTTTCTATCCTTACAGGGTTTGTTTGTTTGTTTTCCTTTTCCTTGTTTTTTCCTGGCCAGGACAATCAATATAATGAAGAATGGAAATACTGCTAGTAGGCATCCTTTTCTTGTTGACCTCAGTTTGGGAAAATTTTCAGTGTTTTACTCTTAAGTATGATGTTTGAGGTAGGTTTTTTGATAAATACTGTTTTTTTGGGCTAAGAAAGTTTCCTTCTAGTTCCCACTTTGCTAAGATTTTTGTTCTTTTTGTTGTTTTAGTCATCATTGTAAGTTGAATTTTGTCAAATGTTTTTTGTTATCATGATTTTTCTTATTTAATTGTTGTGAACTACATTTATTGACTCTAGGATTCTAAATCAGCTTTGTACTCCTGGGGCATCTGGCTGGTGCAGTTGGTTAAACATCTGACTCTTGGTTTCGGCTCAGGTCTTGATCTCAGGATTGTGAGATCAGGCCCCACGTCAGGCCCAGTGCTGAGTCTGCTTGAGATTCTCTCTCTCTCTCCTTCTTCCCCTCCCCCTGCTCTCTTTCTCTCTCTCAAATAAATAAATAAATCTCTAAAAAAATAAGAATAAATCAACTTTCTACTCTTGGTATAAAACCCGTGATGACATCCTAAATTAGCTTTTCTTTGCATTGCTGGATTTGACCTACTATTCCTTTGCATGGTATCATTGGTGTTCATGTATGAGATTTGCCTGTAATTTTTTTTTTCTTGGACTGTTCTCAAAACTCAGTTTCTACCAGTTACTATGTTTCCCAATAGACTATACTTTTGAAGTTGCAGATTTTAATACATAGTCAAAAACTCAAAAATAAGTCCCTATGCACCTGGGAAAGTCCTTGCTGACTGTTACCACTTTTCTTGCAGAGCAAAGCACCAGCCAAATAGCAAGCGCAGATCAGTTCAAACTAGTCTGAGACACAATGGTTACCAAATTTGACCTTTCACTGACTTTTACCCTCATTATATACTAAAAACCATGGGGGGAGAAGGTGGAGATTTAACGTGTTAGATATGCAACACATGAGGAAGCATGACCTTTAAGTGTGCAGATATAAATAAATCTCTGCCTCTCCATGCTAACGTGTCACCCTTTTCCCACCGAAGTTTCTTTAAAACCTTTCCCTGACCTCTCCTCAGGGAGTCAGCCTAAGGAATTCCTTCCTTTGTGCTGCCTCCCTTGTGCTTGACCATAAGCCCCAATAAAGCCTTGCATGTGCTTTTAAATTTTGGGTCCAGGGGTGCCTGGGTGGCTCAGTCAGTTAAGCGGCTGCCTTTGGCTCAGGTCATGATCCCAGGGTCCTGAGATTGAGTCCCGAATTGGGCTCTCTGCTCAGTAGAGACACTACGTGCCACTCTCCCTGCTTGTGCTCTCTCTCTGACAAATAAATAAAATCTTTTTAAAAAAATAAATGAATAAATTTTGGGTCCAGCCTCATTTCCACCATTGCTGGGTCCAAGCACTCAAGTCCAGTAACAATAACTAGGGAAGTTATCAATCCATAAGTATGTGTAGAATGTATTTATGAATATTAAGAGCATCTCAGCCTTGGACATTGTATTTCTAGAACCTTTGGATTAAACTAACTACTTAAGGTGTCAAACTCAGTGTTACTTTTGTTCCCGGAAGCCTGAGCAGAGTCAACAGAAGGCCCAGCCTGGAGTTCTCTGTGAGGGTAGGTCCTCTGGAATAAAAGCAGAGATTCAGGGTCTCTAGTTGATATGCCATCTAAAGTAAATGTTCCTCTTAAATCCACAGGTCTCACTCTCTGGGAAAAGACAGATTCCATGATGTGAGGAGGTAGAGGTTCCTGAACAAGCAGTGTCATGGCACTGGTGGTTCTCTTGACCAGAGAACTCTTATCAAGACTCAGAAAAGAGCTAGAAAAGTCATTTGAGCAGATGCTGGAGTCACTGGTCATTTTCCAAGAGCAGCTGAAAATGACCAAATCCCAGGTGAGCTGTCTTTCCAAAGGATTTGAGGACATTTCTAGAATGTACATAATTAAAAGCACAAATGATAAAAGTCAGGTGGGAAAAAGGCATAGAAAGAAGATTAAGACGCAGCCAGGTAGAGCATGGGTGCATTTACAAATGGTGGGTCATTCAAAGTGCTTAACGTCAAAACATTGCTATGTAAACCATTAGGTTCAAAGTGGAGTTGCCAGTTTTCCTCTGGTGCCAATGGGAGCCATAATCAAAAGAGAAACAGGCATTTTTATGAAGTACATTTTTTTTTTTTGAAGTACATTTTCCATTAAGACAGTTCCTCACAGCCAGTAAATGCTTTCTGGCACTTAGGCACAAGGTCTTCATCAAAAACCAAAAGAGTTGCCCCAAATCAGTATCACCATTCCTCCTCCCTTTCTTATTTGAACCCACTGCAGTTGCTTTTTATCTCCTCCTTCCTCCACAAGTGGTTTTTATCAGGATCACCAATGACTTCATGTTGTTAAATACCACACTCAGTTTTTACTTGACCTTCCAGCAGCATCCAACATTGGTAGTACTTCCTTTTTCCTTAAAATACTCTTGTCATTTGGTATTCAGAATGCCATGCTCTCTGGATTTTTCTGCCTTATTGGCCACTTGTAGGGTTCAACTTCTTTTTGTAATTTGTCTTGTCTCCCATTCTCTTATCTTAATCCCCAGAGTGTCTCAGGGCTCATTCCTTGCATCTTTTGTATTTGTACTCACTCCTCAGTGTTCTCATGCAGTGTCACAGTTTAAGCAGCACTGGTATGGTGATGGCTTCCTCTTTGTATCTCCAGCCTGCACTTCTTCCTTAAGCATCTCCTCCTATATCGTACTGTCTCCCTGACATCTCTAAGGTACACATCTCTACAGGTGTGTCCAGCTAATCATTTCCCAAACCAAGTTCCTGATCTCACCTGAACCCTGTTCCTTCCATAGTTTCCTTCTTTCAGTTAATAGCTGAGAAGCTATCTGGCTTCTCAGATGAGGGGTCAGCAAACTTCCGTAAAGGGCAAGATGATTAGCCTTTGTGGGCCAGATAGTCTCTGTTACAACTCCTCAACTCTCCCACACAGCACAACAGCAGCCGTAGACAATACATCGGTCACTTGGACTGCTGCAGCTGCCTCCTCACTGTTCTTCTTGCTAACATTCTTGCTGTCTTACAGGCCCTTCTCCAGATTGCTTTGTTGCTTTGGTCCTTAGTATTTTCTTAAAAATTTTAGAAGCAGCTTGTCAGTTTCCACAAAACACCTCCTAGGATATTGGTTTTATCCAGTTGCTTGGCTCTATCAATTTGGAGGATAATCAGTATTTTTATACTGTGGAATTATCTTTTTTTAAGATTTTTAAAATTTATTTATTTAGAAAGAGGGGGTGAGGAAGAAAGAGTGAGCACGTGAGCGCAAGTGGGGAGAGGGACAGAGGGAGAGAATCTCAAGCAGACTCCCTGCTGAGTGCAGAGCCCAACACAGGCCTTTATCCTATGACCCATGAGATCATGCCCTGAGCCAAAACCAAGAGTCAGATGCTCAACCAATTGGCTACCCAGATGCCCCTATATCATGGAATTTTCTAATCCAGGAACATGGCATTTTCTTGGATTCATTCACATTTTCTTTAATGTGTTTCAGTAGAGTTTTGTGGTTTTCAGTATTGAGGTCTTGCAAATTTTTCAAGAATTATTTCTAGGCATTTGCTGTTTTGATGTTACTATGAATGGTATTATTATTTAATTTCATTTTCTAGTAGTTGGCTACTAGTATATTGAAATACAGTTGACTGGGGCACCTGGGTGGCTCAGTCAGTTGAGCGTCCGACTCTTGGTTTTGGCTCAGGTCATGATCTCAGGAATGTGGGATTGAGCCCCGTGTCAGGCTCCCCTCTCAGCAGGGAGTCTGCTTCTCTCCCTCTCCCTCCGCTTCTTCCCCTGCTCTCTCTCTCTCCCTCTCTCTAAAGTAAATAAATAAATCTTTTTTAAAAAATGAAATACAGTTGATTTATCAACACTGATCCTATGGCCAGTGACATTGAGAAATTCATTTATGAATTCTAATAGTTTATAATTCTTACGGATTTTCTACATTCAAAATCATGTCCTCTATCAATGATAAATTTCTTCCTTTCTAATATTTTTGCCTCTTATTTCTTTTTCTTGCCCAATTGCATTGGCTAGGATCTTCAGTACCATTTGAATAGAAATGGTGATAGGCATCCTTGTCTCATTGTCTCAGTGCAGAAACTTTTAATAATTCATCATTGAGTGTAATGTTTGCTTTGAGGTTTTATATTATTTATTATTTAGGTTTTGTACTATTTTTCAGATTAAGGCAGATTACTTATATTCCTAATTTGCTAAGAGTTTTCATCATTAAAGGGTGTTAAGTTTTATTTTATGCTTTTTTTTCTAGTGTTTTCCTGAAGTTTTGTTATAAAAATTTCAGATGTGCAGAAAAGTTGAAAGAATTTTACAGTGAACACTCATATACCAACCAGGTAGATTCTGTAATTAACATTTTACTGCACTTGCTTTATCACCCATGTGATATTGTGAGTCATAAGAAATGTACATTTGGTCATTCAGACAACCAAAATACATTTCTTTTTTTTTAAAGATTTATTTATTTATTTATTTGAGAGAGAGAATGAGAGAGAGAGCATATGGGAGGGGGGAGGGTCAGAGGGAGAAGCAGACTCCCTGCCGAGCAGGGAGCCCGATGAGAGACTCGATCCCGGGACTCCAGGATCATGACCTGAGCCGAAGGCAGTCGCTTAACCAACTGAGCCACCCAGGCGCCCCCAAAATACATTTCTCATCTATATTTGGTCTTGTCCACAGTTCCTGGCTCATAGCTCCCAAAATCCTTGGGATTTCCTAAATGTTGAGAGTGATAACAGTATCTTTTGTGATGTGAACAATTACTTTTAGAAGCATCCAAGGATGAGGGCTGGTTGCCAGGAGAATCAAGCATGTGATTAGAGGGTTGGAACTTGCAGTCACACCCCCTGACCTAGGGGAATAGGAAAAGGGCAAGAGATTGAATCAGTTTCCCGTGGCCAGTGATTTAATCAGTCATGCCTGTGCAATGAAGCCTCCATAAAAACCCATAAGAACGGTGTTCAGACAGCTTCCGGGTTGGTGGATAAGTGGAGATTGGGAGAGTGGTGCACCTGGAGAGTGCATGGAAGCCCCTACCCTTTCCCCATACCTGGCCCTACGCATCTCTTCCATCTGGCTGTTCCTGTGTTATATCCTTTTATGGTAAACTGGTAATCTAAAAAGCAAAATGTTTCTCTGAGTTCTTTGAGCTGCTCTAACAAATTAATTGAACCTGAGGAGGAAATTGTGGGAACCTCTGATTGATAGCCAGTCGATCAGAAGTACAGATGACAATCTGGAGTTGTGACTGGCATCTGAAATGGGAGAGGGGAAGGGGAGTCTTGTGGGACTGAACCCTTACATGGTGGAATCCGATGCTGTCTGCAGGTAGACAATGTCAGAATTGAGCTGAATTGTAGGACACTGCGCTGGTGTCCCAAGAATTGCTTTTTTTTGTTATGATGAAACCGTCACCCTGCCATGTTGGAAATTGAGTCTCAGAATATCAGAAGAACCTCCCTCTCCATTTAGCCATCCCTTTCTCCCTTGTTTTTTGCTGTATTTCAAAGTAAATTGCAAACATTAGCAAACTGCTCCCTAAATACCCCAGCATGTATATCATTAACTTATTGTTTAATATGTATTTATGGTACTTTTATTTATTTTGATGTAAAATTTACATACAACGAAAAGTACAAATCTTAACCATTTGGTAGTTTTGACATATGTATTCTCACTTGTGTTACATCCACTGACATGATGATGTGATTTTTATCCTTGATTCTGTCAATCTGGTGAGTTACATTAGTTGACTTTTTGAATGGCAGGATATGTTTAATGAGTTGTAAGTTTCTTCCGTAAGGGTAAAACTAGATTCATCAGTCCTTGGATATATAATGTAATGTGGAAATGATCATAATAAATTCATATGCATTTTTTCCACATCACCGTGTGAAAAATCACTTGAAACGAGTATGCTTTTACAGGTAACATTGTCATTTAAGGATGTGGTTGTGGACTTCACATCAGAGGAGTGGCAGCTACTGGATGCTGTTCAGAAGAACCTATACTGGGATGTAATGTTGGAAAATTATAGCAACCTCGTGTCTGTGGGTAAGGACCCTTGGTGAACCCTCAGCCTATTGCCATTCCTTTCTTAACTTCTGGAATTTTTAAGTTTTCTGAAATGTTTAACGTCTTTGAACGTATGATTTATGGATGGTAGAACTTTTGTGTCTGTCTGAACCTGGAGAGAGGATCTTGCTCTCACCTCCCAAATGAAAGTTTTTCACTTTGCTGAGGTGCTAACTCTGAAACAGTCCCTTCCTACTTCTTCAGAGGTTCCAAAGACCAAGCTCTTGGCACCATGTTTATCCATATGCAGATTGTTAGACTTCCAGACTAGCAGCAGTCCTCCATCTGGAACAGGGAGTCATGGGTTATAGAGGGAGAAATCAGCAGTAAGGGCCATCTAGGTGAGTGGATAAAAGCCAGGTCCATGAGTGAAAGCCTAAGGAACTAGAACCTTTGATAGGTTATTTTGAGAATACTGCTTAAAAACCCTTAAACCCTTAAGGCACCTGGCTGGCTCAGTAAGTAGAGCATGTGTCTCTTGATCTCGGGGTCATGAGTTCAGGCCCCACTTTGCAGGTAGAGATTACTAAAAAAAATAAACTTTTTTGAAGTCTTTGCCCTCTGTGTCAGATCTGCAACTTAGCCAGGACCCGGCTTTCTTGGTTATTCTCTTTCTAGCGTCTTCACTCTTTATCACCAACACTGCTCACGTTGCCTTCCTCCTACTCAACGTCTCACCAATGGTCAGAATTAAGCTTTCACGTACACATGGATTTTTCCCCATAACCATGACTTTTATGTTGCTCTGCTTCCCTTCTATTTTCTCTTCACCTTCTAATGGATGCCTCTAACTTGTATTCTATTTCCAGAACATCATTTCTTTCCTTGATCCCTTGATCCTTGTTATGAGAGTTGGCCCCTTCCAGTACCTAATCATATACACATTCATTGGTCTCCTTCCTAGAAGACACCTGGCAAGCTGATGATGGTATAGATTGGGATTTGGGGAAACTCTGACAGGCTGGATCCCATGGGAGAGGCACCAGGAATGTGATGTATTCAGCAAAATATTTCACCTGAGAAAAGACTTTGATCAATTTGACTCAAATGGAAAAACTTTGAAACATTATTTAGACTGACTTTTCCAGAACAGAAATTATATAAGTAAAAAACCTGAAAAGTTATTTTTCCACACTATGCACAAAAACACTCATTCTGGAATTGCTATGAATATGATTGTGGAGAAGCCGTCAGTAAGACATTGTGCCTCAATGAGTCATATAGAAATGAGATTTTATAAATGTAGTGAATGTCAAAGATCTTTTAACCATATGTCACAACTCCTTCTACACTGAGAAGTAACAAAGGAGAGAAACTCTATGGATGCAGTGAATGCAGAAAATTTTTCTCACAGAAATCACAGTTCATGGTACACCAGAGAATTCACACAGGAGAGAAAATACATGAATGCGATGAGTGTCTGAAAGCTTTTATTCGGAAGACAGAGCTTATTTTACATCAAAGAACTCACATAGGAGAGAAGCCTTATGAATGCAGTGAGTGAGTGTGGGAAAGCCTCCCCCCACAAATCTACCCTGTTTTTGCATCAGAGAACTCACACCAGAGAGAAACCCTATGAATGTAATGAATGTTGGAAAACCTTCATTAGTAAGCCACATCTCACTAAGTGTGAGAGAACTCATACAGGTGAGAGACCCTATGGATGTAAGGAATGTGGAAGAACTTTTTTAAGTTTAGTTTCACTTTACATCATAAAACGCATACAAGAAAAAAGCCCAATGAATGCAGTCAGTGTCAAAAGCTTTCATCTGCAGGTCACAGCTCCTTGAAGAACAAAGAACTCACACTGGAGAAAAACCCTTTTCATGTAAAGAATGTCCAAAGGCTTTCATCGAGAAGTCAGAGCTCACTTTACATCAGAGAATTCATACTGGGGAGAAACCTTATAAATGCAGTCGATGTCAGAAAGCTTTCGTGCGGCAGTCAGAATGCATTTTACCTCAGAGAGTTCATACCAGGGGGCTGGGGGGAAGCCTTTCCAATGTGGTGAATTGGAAAGCCTTCGGCACCAAATCACCACTCATTACATACCAGAGAACACACACAGGAGAGAAACCCTATGGATGCAGTGGTTGTGGGAAAGTTTTCTCACAGAAGTCACAACTCCCTGTACATTAAAGAACCCACACAGGAGAAAAACCATATGAACGCAGTGATTGTCAGAAAGCCTTTAGCCATAAGTCCCCACTCATTATGCACCATACAGGAGAAAAGCCCTATGTATGTAGTGAATGTGGGAAAGCTTTCACCTGGAAACCTGGCCTAATCGAAGAACACATACAGGAGAGAGACCCTACAATGCAGTGAATGTGTGAAATCCTTTGGTGTCAAGTCACATAGTAGTCCAGTTCCATGCCCAGTGTCATATAGTAGAGAAATCAGATGGATAAGATGGATATGGTGAAAATGAAAAAGCATTTAAGGAGGCCATTCCAACATGAGATAGCAGGCGTATGGGAGACAGTTTTTATGGTGACTAAAGAAAAACTTCCAGTCAGATGTTTACTTTCATTGAGAATTAAAATGAGAGAGAAATCTAGTGCCATAGATAAATATGACAAAAATCTTCAGTAATAACCTACAGTGCAATCGTTCATCAGAAGGCATACACGAGAGAAACTGAATTTAGCAAATGTGCAGAAGTTTTCACACAGAAACCCATAGAGGAAAGAAACTGTACACAGGGGAGGAATGTTGCAATATTTTCATTGAGAAACCAAATTTCAGATGCACCGGAGAGTTTACGCCAGAGTGAATCATAGAAGAGTAATGAATGTGAGGAAAATCTTTTATTGAAAGTCAGAAGCATGTGATATTAGAGAATTTACACTAAGGAATAACTCTGATCGCCATAAAATACTTGAAAACCTTTTCTTTTTTGAAAACCTTTTCTGATTATGAAAAAAATGTCCACAGATAATACATGTAAGAATGCAAACCTGTGGGGGCACTGGGTGGCTCAGTTGCTTAAGTATCCTACTCTTGATTTCTGCTTGGGTCATGATCTCAGGTTCATGAGATCAAGCTCTGCCTTGGGCTCTGTGCTCAGCGGGGAGTCTGCTTGGGATTCTCTCTCCCTCTCCCCCTCCTCCTCTTCTCTCTTTCTAAACTAAATTAATTTTTTTAAAAAGGGGGTGCCTGAGTGGTTCAGTCAGTTGAGCATCATACTTGGTTTTGGCTCAGGTCATGATCTCAGGGTCGTGAGATGGAGTCCTGTGTCAGGTTCCATGCTAGGTGGGGAGTCTGCTTGAGATTCTTTCCCTTTGCCCCTCCCCCCATTCATGTTCTTTCTCTCTTTCTCTCAAATAAATAAATCTTAAAAAAAAGTGGGGCATCTGGGTGGCTTAGTCAGTTAAGCATCTGCCTTTGGCTCAGGTCATGATCCCAGAGTCCAGGGACGAGCCCTGCGTCAGGTTCCCTGCTCAGCAGGAGTCTGCTTCTCCCTCTCTCTCTGCCCCTCCCCCTGACTCATGCGCTTGCTCATGCGCGCGCTCTCTCTCTCAAATATTTAAAACATAAAAATTAAAAAAGTTTTTAAAAGCGTGGGGATGACTACACCATGAAATGCAACTCTAATTGTGTATAAGAACTTATATTTAGGAAAAATTAAATCAGGTCAATAAATTGAGATCATTTCCTCTAGAAATAATTTTAGAAAGTAAGTCATGTTCTTGCTGTGAATACCATGTTGATAAAGAAAATATTTCAAAAGGCTTTCAGTATGAAGAAGACATCAGTGTTCACTGTGGAGTATGAGCCTTTTTAAGTATGTGTATAAATGGAACATTCAGAATAAGAGGAGTTTACCAATAATTTCAGCTATATATCTAGGTGTTTATTTTCTGATAGTATCATGGAACATGCTTTTTGAGCTTTGAAAATTGTGACTTTTTGAGCTATATGTGTAAGTATATTTATAGGTAAGAGGTGAATATATGTTTTGTAACTATATTTTGAACTGATTTCAAAATTACAGAAAAGTTGCAAGAATAGTTACAAAGAACTTAAAAAAAATTTTTTTTAGAGAGAGAGTGCGCAAGTGATTGGGGGAGGGGCAGAGGGAGAGGGAGAGAAAATCTTAGGCAGGTTCCATGCCCAGTGCAGAGCCCGAAATGGGGCTTGGGGCTCGGTCTTACAGCCCTAAGATCATGACCTGAGCCAAAATCATGAGTCAGATGCTTCACCAACTGAGCCACCCAGGTACCCCATATAGTGGACTTTTCATCCAGATTACCCAGGTGTTAATGTTTTACTGCATTTGCTTTATTATATTTTCTCTCTGCATGTATACACACATACGTATTATTTTGTTTTTCTGAGCCATTTGAGAGTGAGTTTCAGATAGATACCTCTTCAGTGTGTAAATACTAAGAACAAGGACATTCTCCAACCTAATCACAGTATAACTATTAAAATCAGGAACATTGATTCAGTACTATTATCTAATTTACATCTGGCTGGCTCAATTGGTAGATCGTGCAACTCTTGATCTTGAGGTCATAAGTTCAAGCCTTACATGGGGTGTAGAGATTACTAAAAAATAAATAAAAAAAGTTACTTGGGACGGTTTTAAAAATTACATTGGAGTGATTATAAAAATAAAATTAAATTATTTTCTGTTTGTATTCTTAGAATTTTTGTACCTATTCTTGTTGATGTTGGTATTATTTTTTTTTTTAAAGATTTTATTTATTTATTTGAGAGAGAGAATGAGAGAGAGAGAGCAGGAGAGGGGGGAGGGTCAGAGGGAGAAGCAGACTCCCTGCCGAGCAGGGAGCCCGATGCGAGACTCGATCCCGGGACTCCAGGATCATGACCTGAGCCGAAGGCAGTCGCTTAACCAACTGAGCCACCCAGGCGCCCGATGTTGGTATTATTTTATATGCAAAACATTAGCATGGCTCCAGAAGTCAAAACTATACCCAAAGGTATACTCAGCAAAGTAGTTTATATGATTT